AGAAAACAAAAACAAAAAAAAATTATAAATGTCACATTTCTTTTTTTTGTTTTTTTTTTTTTTGAGAAAGGGTTTTTATGGATGTGACATTTTCTCCTTTTTTTTTTCTTTCGTTTCTCTACCTCTCAAATAAACTATAGGGAAGCTATATGTTAAATATACATTGAAATAACCAAGTAGTGGACTAGTAATTTCTATTTGATGAGGAGAAGTTGTCTTGTAAGTTTAGGCTATAAATTGATTTTTCTAATGTTGAATTATCTAACAACTCTTATTTGACCAGTAAGAATAGTGTTATGATTTAGAACCATTAAAAATATGATAAGTGATTATTACTCGGCTACAATACTCACATTTGGCATAAAACAAAACAAAACAAAAACTACATAGAAGTATAACACGTTATGTTAAATTTTCATATCGAATTCTCTGTTTCAAATTCGATATGGTATGACCATCAATCAAGTCGACCTATAGGCTAAGCAAGTTTAGGAATCTATTTTTATCCAACCAAGAAAACCAAACTAGAAAAAATCAGCTAAACTGGAGTAAACACCAAACTAAATTAGTATGAGAGATGAATTCGAATATAAGGAATATAATCGAATGCTCTAGTATTAAATTTTACGAATCATTGTCACAGTTCACAAACAGGAAACACACCACCAGCATTTTCTTTCCCACAAAAGTTATCTATGTAAATTAAAAAGAAAAGAGGAACACGATGAAAAGTGATGGATTTGTCATCTTTCTTCAATGATGTTCTCAATTTGGGCACAATCTAATGGTAAGAAACATGTCTGAAACATGTTTGGTGTTAAAGATTGGCTATAGCTCCCTTTATCCACTATGTATTAATAGTTTCTTTATATACAACTTTACTTTACGCATTAACAGTTAAGATGTTTCATCAGTTTGTCTCCCATTTTAATGGCATTAGTACAATCTTCCACTCAACACAGTTTCTTCAACTATAGGTTATTACTAGAAGTGGGTTTCATAATTTGTGAAGCCTTTCTATAATTTCCCTGCCGCTCTTGAGTTTGTTAAATGCGATTTTTACTATTTGTGTTTTTTTTATTTTTGATAAAAACGATTTTTACTATTTGTACAGATATCATTTCTGTTCTAGCGTATTAAACAGTGGGTACCTCATCTTTAAATTATGTCTGTAAGAATATAGTGACATTGAATCTTCTGGAACCCTGATCATGATTTCATTTGTACTTGAGAAATTATTTTTATAATCCCTAACAAAACGTACGGTGATATGCAAAAAAATTCATACGTTAATATATAATCTCAAATCAACCCGTGTATATCAAGTGTTAAAACTTACAAGTCTAGTCTCTAGCTATGATATCAAGTTTTTGTAGCGTACTATCATACGCTTGATGTTTATTACATATACGTCATTTTGTTGGTTGTTTACAAGACGAAGATGTTATACATAAGTTTTGATGCTCATTTAGAAACATAATAATGATAATGTATTGGATTATGATATTTTGATTTTGTCCCCAATTGCAATAACAAAAGTAATATTGGGATATTCGGTCCTGATTGTTTTGTATTTTCGTCTATACTTTAAAATTATTTCCAATTACTGTATATATTTTTTGTGTACTTATTAAATTGTATAACAGACTTTACAGTTTACACTTTACACTAAACCGTATTATTATTATCAGAACTCTTAAAAACGAAAACAAATATCGTTAAATTTCTTAGTTAAATTTTCACAAGTTTTAATAGGCCAGCACTGGGCCTCACGAGTGGGCTTACTACTAATGCATTGCCATTGTTTTATACCCACAGTTCAACAAACTTGAAACGAATCTGAAAAATGGCTCGACAATATCCCAATTCTCCATAAGAAGCCTGTTTAGTAGATTATAATGAGTTTTACTCAGTTTGATAGCTACCATTTTAATTTGATTTATCTTTCTTACATTTTTGGGTGAATAAATGTTACCTATATAGTGCTTTTCGAGTTTATCATTGAGTTTCTGGAGAACATTATTAGTTACAACAGTTTGGATATACACAATGAAATAGTGAAAAAGATTGAATAATATTTCCTCCCTCACACAACTTTAAAATAGAAATCATGACTAAATGTTCCTAAGAAGTAACCATGTGCTGCTACAAATAAGACATAACAACATAATTCACTAAAACACAGTGTACGTAAAAGACATTGACAGAGTTGACCAATCATTCAGCAACGTCTTTGACCAAGGTGTAAAGCAATTCCAACGAATCTTCTTCTTGCCTTAGTTTCTGCAAACACACAGCTTGCGTCTCTTAGATATTTTCAAAACTTGTTTTTTGTTAACGCCTTGTGAACACATCAACAATTTGATCGTTTATTTTGCAATTTATTAAATTTACTTCTTCTTCTCTAAGATGGTATAGCTTAATCAGAGCCGTCCTTGGGAGCAAGTAAAGCAAGCAGCAGCTTGCGGCCCCGGCCCTAAATATATATTTTTTCGGCCCTTGATATACAGAAAACCTTTAGTAGTCTAGTGGTAGCTTCCCTTCTAACTGATTTCAATAGCCCGAGTTCGATTCTCCTTTTGTGCTTTTGTTATGTTTTAATTTTTAATTTTTTTTTTTTTTTAAATTCGACCCAAAAGTTGCGGCCTATAACATTTCAGGGACGGCTCTGAGCTTAATCAAGGATGAAAGACAGAATATTTGTGTTATAGAAGTTTTGTTATCAACATAATATGTGTTTGGCTCTTTTTTTTTCCTTTTTTGTGTGTGTCAATTGAATGTAAAATTTATTCAAACAAAAAAAATCACCTTTTACAATAGTTGTGAGTCTTGTGACTTTGTTTTTGAGGGTTTACTAAAGCTGAAATACTATAAATCTTTTTGCTAGCCATTAACAAGACCCAAACCAGGCTTGAAGGCCTCCCTCGAGTCATTCATCTCTTGTTTGGCTCATTTTGCTTCTTCATATGCTGATCAATAAGTAACCTTCTGTTCCAAATTGCTTCTAATGTACAATGAGATATAAAAAAAAATTAATTTTCTTTAATACCACGAAATCATTCTTGACCCAAAGCTGAAACAGAAACTTGTTAGTATACTCATATCTTTAACATATGCGAGAGTGTGTACGTATACTTGATGTCCTACTCTCTTCTGATCCCTTTGATATACTTGAACAATGATAAAATCTTCACAAACATGGCTCCACCGTCGGTTACCTCCAAATTAGTTTAGCTTACTAGCTTCCCTGTTTATCTCTTTTTCCTACGCTAAGTTTCTTTATTTAACTAAATTGTAGTTACAAAGATATATTATTACATTTTAGTTAATATTCAAATGTAAGGTCACGTCCTAGACTAATCAAAACATGCGCATGTGGTAATCGAGCATGCTACTTGACGATAACTTAAAAAATATCATCCTTCTAATAAAATACTAGTCTACAAAAGAAAAAATTATCCTATAAGAGATAGCTTTAATAAATAACTATAAAAAACAACTTGAAAGTCATATTAGAAATTGTACATTAAAAACAAAGTACAATATAATTGAAAGTTTAAGACATTATTAACAGTAACTCGAATTTTGGACGATGACTAATACAAAAATAAAAAATATACTTAAATTTTCAAAACTGTTATTTGTTTTATTTATAACATCATTTCCTTGTTAACAAGACTGAAAGACATGAGACATCATGTCTCCATCTTTACTGATATTAAAATCATAATTAGCTTTATCTTGATCAAGATATAGAAAGTTATCATTGAAGATGATAATTAGCCGATTTCAAAGTAGTGGTATTATAGTGACCGAAATTGGAATCTATAACGTTTTTGCGCAGAGGCCATGTGGTATTATTGCTTGTAACATTTGTTAGTGTTATTGCTAGAAATGTGTAACGAAGTTTTCACATTTTGTCAATTGAATTACAGAACTTTAGCAATTTTTTTTTTTTTTTAACTTTAAAGATTGGTTAGAGACAAGGAGACAGATCCTTTGCTTACTGAGAAGAAAACACGTCAAGCTCGTGATGGTACTGGCGAAGACAAAACAGCTCAATTATTAAGCATATATTTATTGTTACTGTTACGCTAATCTCTACTTTCTCACTAGCTGATTATAAAGAATCCTTTAATTAATCCAAGTGGCATGTTTATTTTCTAGCGCGTGAATCTCAGTCGAGTGCCCACCACAGGGGACAAGCAGTGAAGCTGTAAGGATTTTCCATTTACCAACACATGCCTTTTTCTGAGTCTATTATATTAAAAAAAAACTATTAAATAAATAGAAATATTTCTTTTTTTGTTAAAAAAATAGAAAGATAACCAGTATTAAAATAATCAATATTAGTTCTTGTGTACATTGTCAAGGTTTACTAAAGCTTCTCCAACGTTATAACACCATGTATAACATTGTTCATGATGTAGAAACAACTTGAATCCAACGGCAAAATTCACACCAAAGTATTCACCAAACACTAAAAGTCATAATATTTTTTTATTTAGTTTTTATTTAGTCATAATATGGTTGGAGATGAAAAAAATGAAACACTTAAAACACTAAATTTGGTGTTTTCTAAATTTGATGGAAGTGTTGGAGATGTCCAAGTATAGAATTCGATTTCTTTGTTAACTTGTGAGTTGAAATTTTTTAGCGAGACTGGTCTCTCGATCATACATGATATGAATATATTTTTTTTTGACCAACGTGTTTTCTTCATTAATGCAGGAGAAAAAAAAAGAAATTATAAGCCTATAAGGCTATAGTGTTTGGCTGAAACCCATTAGCAGCAACCATCAAATTAGGATCTTACATGAACCAGCCCAAAAAGTAAACACAAACCAATAAGGTAGGTAGAAGGACACCAGTCGTGATAAACGAGGGAGAGAAAGAGAAGCAACGATTTTCTGATTTACCGTATCCTCTCCGTTGATAGCCATAGTTGTAGCATCTTAGACTATAGAGTTGGATTGTTTTCTCTGAAGCTAGCGATCCGATTACGAATCTGGCGATCGATTAGCACCGTGATGGAGTCCGCCGACGAACAGCCTCTCATTCCTCTCATGCCAAATCCAATATATTGAGGCCTGCCACGCAATTAAGGTCAGTCTGTTTCCCACATTCCCTGCTACTAAAGCTTTCATCTGACTATTAGAGTCTGACCACCCTCGTGCCGATTGTAGATTGCATCTCCTTGCAATTTCAGACCAAATCAACCAGCTCACTGGACAATCGAAGAGCAAGTGATCCCTTGTTTCCATTCCCGAATTGCAGAGAAGACAATGTGGATCCGTTTGAAGTCCCCATCCTAAGATTCTGTCTCTTGTGGGGCAGCGGTTCATGACAAAAAGCCAAACCAGAAAGTTATGTTTTGGAATACCTCCTCGATTCCAGACTATTTTTCCCCAAGGTACCACCTCTTGTTCCTGCCTAAGCTCTTGATAGACCAATCCCATGCTGTATTTTCCTGAGACTGTGCCATCTATTTCCCATTCATAATAATCTTCCTGATCCGTTAGCGAGAGAGTGGTCAAGTGTGCTTGTAGACTCACTTGGTTTTCTGTTCTTGCCGCATGTAGAAACCACATGTTCCTACGATAGAGACTCACCACTGTCGCCTGGGCCAGAATACCTAGTCTTGAGGCCGCCGTAGCGTTTAAGAACTTCTACATATTACCAAAAGGCGACCAATTATCCGACCAGAATCTGCATAGAGCTCCATTCCCAATCCGCAGCTTGAACCAGGGGTAAATGTCTTCCCTCATCTTAATCAGTTTATTCGCCAGCCACAAGTTGTCTTTGTGATGCTTAACTGTCCAGAAGTTTCGAATGTCACCATTCAAGACTTCATTTGTGAACCAGGCCACCCAAACTGACCCTGATTGGAAGAAAAGGAGCCACGTGAGCTTTAGACAACAAGCCTTATTCCAAGTACACAGATCTTTTATTCCTAGTCCTCCCGCTTATTTAGATTTAGTAACTGTGACCCATGAAACTCTTGCAGAGTGATGACCCTCTAAGTTCTCTTTCCACAGGAAGCAGCTACAGATTGAATTTATTCTTTTAATGCACATCTTTGGGAGAATGAAAGTTGAGCACCAGAACGTTGATATTCCCCCTATCACTGTTTTGATAAGAAGCAGCCATCCAGAAAACGACAAGGATCTTGCACTCCAAGAGTGATATGATTATGGCCAGAGCCAAGGTCAAGGAGCATAGACCTAAGCTTGAACCTGATGGAGTTAAGGACTTAAAGCTTGAACCAGTGGAGCAGCTTGAACGTGAGGAAAGTAAGCTTGTAGCTGAGGATGAGCTTGAACCGGAGCTTGTAGCGGAGGAAGCTTTAGCTGCATCAATGGAACTGGTTACTCATTCTGGAGTTAATCTTGAGCCAAGGTGGAGAAGACACGATCCTAAACCTCCCTGGTTTTTGATCCAAGCTCAAGATATCAGCAAATGGGCATGTGATTCATTTGCACTCTTTTTCCCTTACCTTTGGTTTTGTCCCAATGGGTTTTCCAAAGGAAGTTTTTTAATGAGGCTTATGTTTCACATTCCAATAACCCATTATGCTGATCAAGACCTAAGCCCATCAAGTGGGAAGATTGAAAACGTGGCCATGAAGTCCAAAGGTCTATTTTAGTGTTCAAACTTTCTTTTATTGCTTTGTGTGTTTTCAAGATGGTCATTGGAGCTTGTTCCTTGACTCATCTCTTCTTCTTCCCTTCTTCTCTTTCCTTTATATGTTGCTGGACGAATTGCTTTTGAGTTTAACCTACTTTTGAATGAAAACCTTTTCTCTTTGTTTAATCAAAGTCCCTCTTAGTGAGTTAAATCTAAGAAAACCTCTCTTAGTGTGTTACATCTAAGAAATCCCTTTTCTCTTGTTGTGAGTTATATATATATTTTTTTTCCTCTAAAATACTGATTTAAATTAATACTGAGACATTACATATTGTTTCTCCAACTCAATCGATGGACTAAGCCACGATGGGATACTACACTCCAAACAAGCATGGTAAATAGAAAAAGGGAAAGCTGTTTTTGCAATAAGATCTGCACTCCCATTTGCTTCCCTTCCACATGTACTAAAAGAAGGCTTCAGATTCCTCCACGGCCCCTTGATATCGTTTACATAACTCGCTAGTCTTGCCCATTGTTGTGGATCCTTTATTGCCTGAAATAGTACTTGGGAATCTGTTTCGAATACAACCTCTCCATAACCCATATTGTCCAGGACTCTCATCGCCCAAACCATAGCAGCCGCTTCCGCTTCAAGGCTGGAGAGCAAAGTTGGATAGACTTTTTCTCCAAACCATTTCCCGTTTCCCGTGCTGTCTCTGAGAATCCAGCCAACTGAGCATTTATCTGATCCAAGTTTCCAGGAGGCATCAGAGTTACATTTAAAAGTGCCTCCAGTTGGTGGTTTCCATCGCTGAGGAGCGGCTGCATTGCGAGTTTGGGGCACACGGCCTTGGGGTTGGTTGTCAAACCATTCCTTAACATCATCGAGAGTTTTTGTTACGACCTCCTGAGCATCATACGATTTGCTATTGTAGCAGAGATCATTCCTCGATTTCCAAATGCGCCAAAGCAGCCACGGCCATATAAGCGAGATAGAAGGTGGCGTTGGAGATCTTTATCCATCAGATCTCTGGTATAAGCCATTCATTCCATTCACTCCATTCATCCATTCATTCCATTTACTCCATTCCATCAAATCCAACAAGTCCGATCATTCTACCACTCCATCTCAATCCTTACTTGCTTGAAAGTGCCGATCTCAATAAAGGGTCTATCAAAGAGGTAACTTTGTCTTTCACCTGCTGGATTAGTACCTCACTGTTGGGTGAAATAAATTCATTAACCAGTCGCTCCTTAAACTCTATTATAAGTTGGAGATATGATCGACTGACGACCATGACGACCGGTCGATCTTACTTCTTAATGTCTAAAAGGCCTTAGCATCGACATGACGAGGCAGCGACCAACGATGTTAATTAATGGTTTAGCAATGACCAATGGTTTGTACAATTTCCTAAATCTATTGGAGTTGTGTAGAGGATCGACGTGCACTTCTAACTAAAAGGAAATTAGGAGTGACGACCGACGTCTAAGCCCAACCCAATAAGGGTTATGATTGACGAATATCTATAAATAAGAGATCCTTCAACAAGGACGGGAGAGGAGACATTCTTAAGAACCCTAAGGGTTATACTCTCGCCGCTCTTCAAAGAAAAACCAGTAGGATCATCTTCAATCCATATAGACATTGACAAAGATCATCGATGGTGTTAAAGGTACCAAGCGACGGTCGACTAGTGACCGTCAACCTAGGACGACTGACCTTACCTCGACAAAGCATGGTTCTAGATCCACCCACGAGGGTCTATCTACGACGAGCGACCTACACAAGGGTTGACCAAAGACAAGCAATAAAGCATAGAAAACCCTAGTACCTACTTACTCTTCACCTCTCGACAAGCAGCGACAGATAACCTAGCTACGACGACCTACGATCTACTACGAGCGAGAAACGAGATTCTCTTAATTTAATCTTTGATATTGACTTCTTGTAGCTCGATATTCCATTGATTAATAAGATATCTTCTCCTGCGTCATTCCGTTTATTGTACTTGCGAACCGGTTAAATTTTGCCCAAACAGTTTGGCGCTAGAAGGAGGGTCAATTTTAACTACGTGAGACATGACCAGAAGAGGGGATAACAACGACATAACTCCATGAGATAACGTTCTACATGAACTTGATGATAAATTGGAGGATTATCAAGAAAACAACGAAGTAAAGAAGTGAAGGTTCATCGACGTGCACAATAAACTTCACAGAGATGCATAACAAAATACCTCAACCACTGGGGGCAAAGGAGTGACAGTGACACTGTATATTGTATTCACAGTACAGAGGAGTAATTGAGATACAAAACTCAAGCAGAAACAGACCTTCATTCAATGACTTCTTAAAGTTGTCACTACTACAAAGACCGTTCAACAGCACGAGTGCAACTTAATTAATGAAAGAGGGACGTAGAAGAAGGACCTGTAACAAAACTACAATGTAAGTTCCCTATTGATTATTTACAATTTAAGAAACATAGTTTTCCAACATGTAGAATGTGTTAAGTTCTCGGATAGATTAAATTAGGAATGTATGTCCCTCATAATGCTAAACAAGTTCAAGTAGTCAACCATGTTAATCAATAAGACTAACAATGTGATGCTGACATTAGCAAATATAAGCTACTAAAGGTACCTCCTTTAAACTGCTATTAAAAAAGAGAACGACAATCATAAGTTACTGCCTCCAAACCTTGTGACCAAGGTAAACACTACATCAACTAAGGAGCACAACCTCGTTGGATTGTTCATCATCATCACTTGAATAAGTCGTGAGGCAGGACCTCAGAAAGTAGTGACTATGGTCACTACTCACCACAAATTGGCATAGCCTTACAAACGCTTGACGACAGTCATAGCATAGCTAATGACGAACTACAGTAAAAAAAACTGGCATTGAGCAACAACGACGCTCGACATTTCTTCAAGAAAAAAAAACTAGAGGCAATGCCTCATATGCAAATTGACCATGGTCACTAGGAAGATAAGATTCATGTACTCAATGTATATCGACATCGACGATAGTCGCTGAGAACTAAAATTTAGAGGTACGACCTCCACATGTTATGACGACAAGTCATAAAGAGTCATGTACTCAATATATAGTAAGAGCGATGACAATCGCTCATAATTGATTTAGAGGTATGACCTCCACATGCTGTGACAATAAGTCAAAAGCAAATAGATAGAAAGGCATGTCCTCAATATAAAGTGACGACAGTCGATACTAAATAAATGAAGAGGTACAACCTCACCATGATAAGTCATGATATGATAAATAAAGAGGTACGTACTCAATAGATAGCAACGACAGTCGCTAAGAAATAAGTTAGAGGTACGACCTCCATAGACTATGATGCCATGTCGCTCTTTGACTAACAAAGGGGCACGACCTCCAAATGATATGATCATAGAGCATTGGCTAACAAATGAAGAGGTACGTCCTCACTAATCTGTGACAACATTTACTAAATCAAGAGGTACGTCCTCATAAAAATATGACAATAAATTAAGGGATAAAACCCTCACAGTCAAGTAATTGCTTATCCACTGAGAAAGCAAGTTCTAAAATCGTCGATGCTCAACAATAGATAGCCTTATGCATACAAATTCATTGTGGTCAAATCCAAAAGGGGGCAACATTCTTGTCGTTAGTCTCATAAGACCAATGGAAAGAAAATAATAAGCTTTCTTTCATGCTACTTGTTCGACTTTCAGTTCTATGTGTTTGTACTTGTGCACCTCGCATAAGACTTATGTTATCAATTCAAGTGATCAACCAAAGACGAACATATAAAATGTGTCTGCTCTTGCTAGTTTTGATTAGGTCTTGCATAACCAAGACCAACTAAAAGAAAAGGAGCAATAATTCCAAATAAAAGAAAGGGAACGACATAAGGAGTCAAAGGAGCGACATACAAAAAAATAGCATCTACATTAGAGAGAGATCAAGGTCCCATGCCACATTGTTGTCCAGCGACTAACGAATTGAAGCTCGACTACTAAAAAAAAAAAAAGGAAGGAAGCACAAGCAAATTGTTGGTCATCTTTCACATGAACGATCAACACAGCTACATTCCTCAATTTTAGTTAAGTCACCTGAATGGTTAAGTACACATTCCTTGGGACCCACATGGAAAAAGAGGAAGGACGACATGGTTCAAGATCAACCTTTTTGTCATTGATCATTGGAGAAAGATACTTGTCCGTCTCTTTTTAACCAGTCCTACATTAATATTAAAAGATGTATGTCAATGTATGTCGCTGCTCCTCCATTTGGTCAGTCCATAACAGACAAGAGAAGTCAAAGAGGAAAGGAGGTACATACGATATCATAAAAGTATGTGGACCCTCCTTATAGAGAAAGATCACGTGAGCAGCATAAGAAAATGGGGGAGATGCGTCGATTTAAATAAAAATGGAGTATCGACATTAGGAAGAGATCGACATAATCACGGTCATAAGTGTCTAGGTGACATTATCGAAGAGCGACCGGCGATATTTAAAAGAAATGTTACTCTACAACTTTTCAATGAGAAATTAAAGAGTAGGGGGCAAGTTGTTGGGTGAAATAAATTCATTAACCAGTCGCTCCTTAAACTCTATTATAAGTTGGAGATATGATCGACTGACGACCATGACGACCGGTCGATCTTACTTCTTAATGTCTAAAAGGCCTTAGCATCGACATGACGAGGGAGCGACCAACGATGTTAATTAATGGTTTAGCAATGACCAATGGTTTGTACAATTTCCTAAATCTATTGGAGTTGTGTAGAGGATCGACGTGCACTTCTAACTAAAAGGAAATTAGGAGTGACGACCGACGTCTAAGCCCAACCCAATAAGGGTTATGATTGACGAATATCTATAAATAAGAGATCCTTCAACAAGGACGGGAGAGGAGACATTCTTAAGAACCCTAAGGGTTATACTCTCGCCGCTCTTCAAAGAAAAACCAGTAGGATCATCTTCAATCCATATAGGCATTGACAAAGATCATCGATGGTGTTAAAGGTACCAAGCGACGGTCGACTAGTGACAGTCAACCTAGGACGACTGACCTTACCTCGACAAAGCATGGTTCTAGATTCACCCACGAGGGTCTATCTACGACGAGCGACCTACACAAGGGTTGACCAAAGACAAGCAATAAAGCATAGAAAACCCTAGTACCTACTTACTCTTCACCTCTCGACAAGCAGCGACAGATAACCTAGCTACGACGACCTACGATCTACTACGAGCGAGAAACGAGATTCTCTTAATTTAATCTTTGATATTGACTTCTTGTAGCTCGATATTCCATTGATTAATAAGATATCTTCTCCTGCGTCATTCTGTTTATTGTACTTGCGAACCGGTTAAATTTTGCCCAAACACTCACAATTAATAATATTCAGCTTTTTGGTGCAGAGAGGAACTCCTAAGTACCGAACCGGCAATGTTCCTTGGGGCATTCCAGTAGAGAACTTGATCAGGTCACATTCTTCTTGGGGAATGTTTGAGGCAAAGAAGCTTGACTTCTGTACACTAACAGCTAGGCCAGAGCGAAGCTGGAATTCATGGAGTACCTGAAGGACGTTTTGTACAGAATCCAGGGAGCCCTCCATGAAGATGAGAAGATCATCAGCGAAACAAAGATGAATCAGTTTGGAGGCATCACACTCGTGGTGGTAAGCAAATTTCCCTTCCTCCGCCGCTTTGTTTAGTATTAGAGATAGGTAGTTCATAGCAATAACAAATATATAAGGAGAGAGAGGGTCTCCTTGTCTAAGACCACATTTTCCTTTGAAGTAACCTTCCACCATTCCATTATAGCCAATTGTAAAATTTGTAGTACACATGCAAGACTTTAGCAAATGCAGGAAGTGTTGAGGTAAAGCCAACCCTTCGAAGCAGTTAAATAGGAATTCCCTTCGCAATATCAACCTAATTGCTATGATTTTCTAATGAATATGAATGGCTATTTTAGCAATCATATGAGATGATAAAAGTATTACTAACCATTAAGAATCTAAAGATCGTAATAATGAGACATAGAAATGTGACTGAGAATATATACAATAACATAATATGAAATAACAAAAGCTTTTACTTTGAAGCATGCACACTAGAGCTTAATCTCTGCTAGACTTGGAGTCCGTATCGTGGTGAACTCAACCTGCTACATAAAACTATACTATAGTTCACATGTTTGTTCAATCAACGACCGCAAAAAAAAAACAATCTTTGAAAACTTGGAAAATTAATTTTAGAAACGCATGAGTTATATAAAATTGGGAAGAAAAATAAATTTGTTAAGGTTGAAAAAATACATAAACGTGCACTACATTAATAATTGAAATTCTCAAAGCATATACATATTTTTCGCAAAACAAGTAACCCTATGAGGTGAAGATGACACTTTCAGCATCGTTAAAGAGAAAAGAAGTAACATGGGTCTGACTGGTTTAACCATTGTGGTTGCGGTTGCGGGTGCGGGAGTTTGCGGAAGTGGATGGTTGTGGTTAGTAGCGTTATTAAGCGGTTTGTACGACTGGCATAATGATTGAAAATGGATGCGTTTGTGGGATACTCATAACTGGTTGACTTGCGGATTCAATAGTGGTTAAACAATAAATTAACAATATAAACACATTATATAATTAGAAAAACATCAAAACTATATTATAATGAAAATTTTAAAATTATGTGGTTGTTTTCTAATAGCTATGTATTCTTATACAATTAGAAAATAAATTGGCACATGAAAATGAGATTTTGTTTTTCAAAAATGTGTTAAAACCTTTACTCTTTGATTTATTTTCCGGATTCAATATAATTCTCAAAATCAATTAATTTTCACTCATTAAAAGTAATCAGACATGTGGTCATGTTGAAAACTATAACTAAAGCAATGACTTTCAATAAAACACCAATCCTTATATTCATATCGACAGACAACAACGATGAAATTTTTGTTAAAAAAAAAAATGACATTATGTTGCAAATTGTTGGACGATGTCGAGAAAAGAAACAGGCTGTTTTCACTTTTAGTTCAAAAATTGAGCTCAAATGCAAAAGTAGTTCACTCTTTTTTTTCTTCCTTGTTTATCCTCACAGTATTTATGATAATAACGAAAATGCCATTACTTTCGTCCTTGAAGTCTAACCGTGAAGTCTAATACGAAAATAAAAAGTCCAAAGAAACCTTATCTTCTTCATTTATTCACGAAAATGCCATCACCATCAATTCGTCCAACAACCATTTTCAACTGAAATCAAGCTTTGAATGTATGATTTACTCTTCAAACATATATATAAACTCATTATATCATCTCATAAACTTGTATTCGTCAATTTCTTCTCAATTTTCACCCCAAGAACACACATTTTCATCTTTTCAAAGTTTATGTTCTTAGATCTTCCCATTTTTGGTGTGGGAGATCATTATAACGGCTGGGGAAGTTTGCTGAAGCTCTAAATCGAAATTCTAGGCCGTCAACGAAACTTAAGATCACGGCAAGGTAAAATTCCGGTAGATCTGAGTGAATTTCATATTTTTGCAGATCCTTAGACTTCATAGCGAAGTCTAACAAACTAGTTTTGCAATTTAGTTTTCAAATAATTGAGAGAGTAGACTTCACAATGAAGTCTACCCATATTCCTTTGAAAACAAAAAAATATGGTGTAAGCTTTAGAATGAAGTCTACTCGAAACAGATTAGTTTTGCAATTGACAGAATAAAAACTGTTTATGAAAAGTCTATCTCTGAAGTCTGCTTCAATAAAAGACTAGTTTTGCAAACTTTAAGTAGTTTGTTTTATCGTGAAGTCTACCCCTAAAGTCTATTAATATTGTATTAGGCTTTATTCAAAGTCTAATATCGCGTTAGACTTCATTGCGAAGTCTAATAAAGGGTTAGACTTCATTTCGAAGCCTAATTCTTGATAGACTTCTTCGTGAAGCCTAATAGTCAACGTTTATCGGAGTAGACTTCACGATGAAGTCTATTTTTCAAATTCAAAAATTCGATCAATTGCAAAACTAATCTCTATGAAGTCTAATTCCGGTTGTAGACTTCACGGGTAGACTTCATTTTCGAGTTAGACTTCATTTTTAGGCCTATTCACGATAATGAAGTCTATTTGGAAAAGTCAAAGCTTGGTGAAAATTACGAGAGAGAGACGCCGCTGAGTTACAGATTTTTCTTCCACAAAATTAGGTTATTTCTATATGTATCTAGGTCAATTTTCGGGTTAGGTGAAAAAAAAATTCGGTTAGTGAAAAAATTTCCGGTTAAATAGACTTTATTATGAAGTTTAGGAAAGAAGTCTATTCCCAAAGTCTCTTAAACCGACATATTGTATCAAAATTTTGTTTCAATATATTTTGTTTCCCGCTAATTTCCCCTAAAATATTTCGTTTCTCGCTCACAATTTTATGAATAACATACTTCATAGCAAAGTCTAACAATGAAGTCTACGGATGAAGTCTAACTTACCCTAAACCCTAAATCAAATTTTTTAGATCAAAAGTATAGAAAACATCAGTTATATATACATAATCACAATTTACATTATAAACTATGAATTCATTAACTTTAAATCGTTAATCAAACCGCAAACAATTTTTTTTGTCAAAATTCTCTAAACCCTAACAATGACACTCATAAACCCTATACATTATACCTCAAACACTAAGCTTGATGATTGGTTTACTCATGAAATTTATAAATTAATTCATTTCCATAAAATTTTATTTTACATAGATAGGATTTGTCTTCATTTAGATTATTTATAATTTTTGAGTCCTAAACGGACAACGGCAACACGGCGGCAAGCCACGGTGGCGGAAGGGTTCAAATGAAGATTCCACTGTGAGTATAACGACAGTAGAGGGAAACAGACACAGACACGTATATCACTGATATATGAATATGACTTACAGAAGTATACTTCGGAGGAGGAAGGGGAAAAGGCGGCGGCGACGATAGTGGGTCTGTCTTTCTTCTTCGACGGCGACGGTGGGCGGAGAGAACATGCAATCGCCTATCCGACAAAGAGAGAGAACGGAACGGACTTGGGTTTGCGAAAGTGAAATGTGAAAGTGAAACCCTGATTTTGGGTTTCTCACTTTCGATTATGGCCGGTTAACTTTGGTTAAACCCAATTACAACAAACATTAGAATTTCCTCGACCGGTTCTAAGCAAAAACCGGAATTGATGTACAAAGTCTACTCGTGAAGTCTACAAATTGAACTTTTAATGAGAAATTTATTCGCCCAAAATATTTCGTTTCCCGCCCAAAATATTTCGTTTCCCACTCGTTTTTTGAATAAAGACTTCATAGCAAAGTCTAACTATGAAGTCTACCGATGAAGTCTGACTTACCCTAAACCCTAAATCGAATTTTTGAGATCAAAGCTATAGAAAACATCAATTATGAATATATAATCACAATTTACATTATAAACTATAAATTCATTAGCTTTAAATCGTTAAACAAACCGCAAACAATTTTTTATGTCAAAATTCTCTAAACCCTAACAATCATACTCATAAACACTATACATTGTACCTCAAACACTAAGCTTGATGATTGGTTTACTCATGAAACTTATAAACTGATTAATTTCCATAAAATTTTATTTTACATAGATAGGATTTGTCTTCATTTAGATTATTTATAATTTTTTTAAGCCTAAATATTTTTTATAGATTTTAAACTTTAAATTTAAGATTTTGTTATTTGGTAGACTTCTTCAGTAGACTTCACACAATATTTTTTGGATTATACCATAATTTGTATTACCGATTTTAAATTGATCAATTTATATGCAAATTTATTTTTCATGGATAGTACTTGTCTTTTTTAACTTATGTGTAAATACCTTCATCAAAATATTTTTAAAAGATTTCAAACTTTAAATTTACGATTTTGCTATATATTAGACTTCGGGAATAGACTTCACGCAGTTTATAGGTTACAAACATAATTTCTCTTACTTGAGTTAAATGGAGTCATTTTTATGCAAGTTTATTTTTCTTGGATGCCAAATGTTCTAATCTTGTTTATGTATAATTTTCTTTGATCAAAACAATTTCCTATAATTTTATAAATTAAATTTGAGTTGTGATTAGGAATTAGACTTTATGAATAGACTAACATGCCGTAGACTTCATGAATAGACTTTAAACAGGGTAAAACAGACATTGTGCTAGCGTTTTTTTCTTTGTTCATAAGGGCTTGATTTGTAATTCTACATGCCCAGAAGACTAGTTTTGCTCTAAATGCAATATAGGGTCTAGTTTTGCATTTAAAATCAAATTGTGCATATTTGGCAATTCCCCCAAAAAAAACACATATTTTAGCTAAGAAAGTACATGAATTTGTTTTTAATAGAAAAAGTATATGAATTTGTAAATGCAATGAAATAATTTTATAACATCTTGGTTTATGGAAAAAAAACTACAACATGATTCAATTCGTAGAATATTGTGCTTTCTACAAAATAAAATAAAATATAGAGAAAATTAAACAATTAAACCAAAATGCCTTTATACAGTAACCTCTATAAAGTAATACTCGATAAAATAACAAACACTTTTAGATAATAAATTTCTCTGGTTCCAAAATAGTAAAATGCGATAAGATGATAAGATAATAATATTTTTGAAACTCTTATGTAAAAATATAGTTCCAACAATAAGTTAAAATAATAATTATAAAACTTAAGCATAAATTGCCTTTTTTATATATATATATATATAAGACAATTTAATAAAATATGAAAATAAGACTCCAATGTTGTTTATCTTTTCTGAAAGTTAGATTCTCTATTTGAATAAAATATAATAAAATATGACTTCAAAACGAAATTTTGAATAAAAAAAACTGAAAAAATTATATTTCTATCAAATTTCTTGTTTTTGATAGAATATTTTTATAAAATAATAATTATTACTTTATCTATAAAATAAGAACTTTATAAGATAATAAATTTTTAAATTTTCAACATTATTATTTTATAGAGGTTTTACTGTATTTAAAAAGAGCATGATGTTCAAAAACAAAACAAAAAAGCATGTCATATACTTATGTGGTAGAAAATCAAAAAACCAACCAAGCAAACTAAAAAGTAAAGAAAAGGAAAAAAAAGCAGCCATAGCCAAAGGGTTCGTGTCGGCTTCAACCAAACACTGACGGTGTATGTATACACCTTTACATACAAGCTTTTATCTCACATCTAATTGATAAATCTCCTGTTTTTCTCTCTCACTTTGCATTATTTTGACAGCAATTCCACTTTCTCTACCCTCTAGATTTCCACTTACCCCTCAATCAATTTTTTTTGTTTTCTTCTCTCATCTGGGTTTTGTTTGTTTGAACCCTAGCTCGCCTGGGTTTTGCTTAGATCGTTGGATACTTCGAGAGAGTTTGAAGTAAAGGTTCGATTTTTATTTCTGGGTTTTGCTTGTTGTTTAGTAAATGCTTGAAAATGAGGAGACTTTCGAGGATCTGTAGTCAGATTTGGGGTTTTTGTTTCTCGATTTTAGCTGGATTTTGATTCTGGGGGTAATCTAGATCACGAATCGACACTTCGTTTCACATCCCAATTTCAACTCCTGATCTTGTTTTTCCTTTGAATTTCATTTACCCCCTTTGCGTTTTCTCATGGGTTTAGCGGAAAATTCGTCTTTAGCCTTTTGCTCTCTGCTCACAGATTTGATTCTATCCGATAACTCTAGGTTTTGTGTTGAAATCTCGCCATTGTTGACAGTGAAGCTAAAATTAGAAAGATTTTTGTGTTGCAGAGTGTGAAGTTAATGACTGAAATCTGTTAGCTTTTGCTTTTTTGGTTCTTATTTTTTTGACCCCCTTTGCTTGTGTGACCATATGACTTCTCTTCAAATTGGGTAATGTAATCTGAGAATCTGTGTCTTGTGGTGTGCTCTAGAGTCACAATGTTAGAACAAAGAAGTTGCATGAATGGCCCACATTTTTGTCAGTGAATTGAAGAAAGGGTTTTAAATGTTGCTACACAATAAACATCTATCAGAGTTTTTGTTTGTCTAAATTTAGATGAGGATAGGTCCATCTTCTTCTCTCTTTCAGAAAAAAAAAACATTTCTCAATCTTATAGTCTCTCTTCTTTCTTTTCTTCCAGGTACATTAAATGGATTCTCAAATGGCAGCTACCAATCAATCATCTGGAAAACCGGGAGGTTCGTTGAATTTTTGTTTTGTCTTATACATTTCTGTCAAGTGTGTTTGCTCTTTTCTACTTGTACTCTGCTTTCTATGTTTGCTTCTTGTTGCTGACTTCATTCCATGTGTTTGCAGGGGCTTTGAGTGATGCTTTATATAGGGAGCTATGGCATGCTTGCGCTGGACCTCTTGTAACCTTACCTCGTGAAGGGGAACGAGTTTATTATTTCCCTGAAGGTCACATGGAGCAGGTATTTTGGTTTGAATCACTTGACATTCAAAGATACCTTATTGATGCTATCTAGATTTGAATAGTATCACAAAAACATGTTGATTTGACATGATCCAGTGTCGGTCCAATCTCGCATCTTATCTGAATATCACATTTATGAATTTAACTGATCACTTCCTATGCAGCTTGAGGCGTCAATGCACCAAGGTTTGGAGCAACAGATGCCTTCGTTTAATCTCCCATCTAAGATTCTCTGTAAAGTGATCAATATCCAACGCAGGGTAGGGTTTATTCTGTTATATATGATTGAATTTTTCCTTACTTTTTCTTCATGAAATGTGTTGGCTAAATAGTTTTGTGCTTCACTTTGCAAGCTCAGGCGGAGCCCGAGACTGATGAAGTTTATGCGCAAATAACCTTATTGCCAGAACTGGATGTAAGTTTATAATTATTAAGAAACAGTTTGGCGGTTTGGTGTTTCATTCTCCTGTTCTTGATTTTTGTGGAACTTTTGTGTTTGGTCATCAGCAAAGTGAGCCCATCAGCCCAGATGCACCTGTTCAAGAACCTGAAAAGTGCACAGTACATTCATTTTGCAAGACACTTACTGCTTCGGACACAAGCACGCATGGTGGATTCTCTGTTCTACGGAGACACGCAGATGATTGTCTTCCACCTTTGGTCAGACGTTGCTTCCTGTGTTCTTTTTTTGAAACACCACTCCAACTGTTGTTTTTGTGTGTTTGTAATACTTTGCTTTCTCTTCTCCAGGATATGTCCCAACAACCACCATGGCAAGAACTGGTTGCAACTGATATGCACAATAACGAGTGGCATTTTAGGCACATTTTCCGAGGTTAACATTGTTATCACAATGCTACTGTTATTGGGAACCTTTGGGGTTTTACAGAATTTTTGCATTGACATTATTGTTATACGACTATTAAATATCATGAGGTTGTGACTACAGGCCAACCAAGGCGCCATTTGCTAACAACTGGGTGGAGTGTTTTTGTTAGCTCGAAGAAACTAGTGGCTGGTGATGCTTTCATATTCTTAAGGCAAGTTTCCTCAACATTTCGTTTTTCTGGTTATTATTTCTGTCTCTTGAAATGTCTGAGTATGTGACATAGTAATGTATTTCAGGGGGGAGAATGAAGAGCTCCGTGTTGGTGTTAGGCGGCACATGAGACAACAGACTAGTATCCCATCCTCTGTCATTTCAAGCCATAGCATGCATATTGGGGTCCTTGCCACTGCTGCTCATGCCATTACAACAGGAACAATCTTTTCTGTCTTCTACAAGCCAAGGTCTTGCTTTCTTGTTCTAGTTAATTTAGTCATTGCCTGGAAACAAAATCCTATAAACACTTTTAAGCCATCAAATGGTACAAAACTCATCTCCTGCTGCATCGGATTGTCATTTGCCTGAACTCATTTGCTATGTTAGACGTAGATAACTGGTCTGGAACTGACACATGAGCCTTTATACATTTGATATACAAATATCCATCTTATTATGCACTTGATTTACTGTTGCTTTGCATATGCATTAGACATTTTGCTGACGCATCTTCTATTATCAGGACAAGTAGGTCAGAGTTTATTGTGAGCGTCAATAGGTATCTCGAAGCTAAGAACCAGAAGCTGTCTGTTGGAATGCGTTTCAAGATGAGATTCGAGGGTGAAGAAGCTCCTGAGAAAAAGTATGAGATCTAACTAGCAAGCTTGTTTTCGTTTTGCTGATAAAGCCTGAATGCGATATAACTTCTAGTTTTCTTTTCGTGTTGCAACGATGCAGGTTCAGTGGCACAATAGTTGGTGTTCAGGAAAACAAGTCTTCGGTCTGGCATGAATCTGAATGGAGATCGCTTAAGGTAAAGCATATTCTACTGTTATACTTTGCAGTGGAGCAAGTTGTGCTTGTTTTTTGGTTTCTTTAACCGAGTGAATATAGTGATACATCTTAATATTCTTGGCACCAAACTTTTAATGCTTCAGGTTCAATGGGACGAGCCCTCATCTGTATTTCGGCCAGAGAAAGTATCACCATGGGAACTCGAGCCCCTAGTTGCAAATAGTACACCTTCTTCACATCCTCAGCCTCCACAAAGGAACAAACGACCGAGACCTCCGGGTTTGCCTTCACCAACCACCGCTCCATCTACTACTGCCGGTATTTAGTTCGTTTCTCTTTTGAACTGTTCTTCCTTGTTGGTAACTCCAGCTCTTTTAATTGATGTTCTCTCTTCAGTTACTCCAGATGCTGTGTGGAAATCCCCGGCAGACACTCCTTCACCGGTGCCATTATTCTCTCCTCCTGCTAAGACTGCTACTTTAGGTCATGGTGGGAACAAATCATTTGGTGGACTTTCCATAGGATCAGGCTTTTGGCCTAGCCATGCAGATAGTGCAGCTGAATCGTTTGCTTCAGCGTTTGACAACGAACCTGCTGAAAAGAAGCAAAGTAATGGAAATGTCTGCAGGCTTTTTGGGTTTGAGCTAGTTGAAAATGTTAATGTGGACGAGTGTTTCTCTGCTGCATCTGTGTCCGGTGCTGGCGCTGTAGATCAACCTGTCCCATCCAATGAGTTTGACTCCGGCCAGCAATCTGAGCCGTTAAACATCAACCAATCCAATATTCCTTCTGGCAGTGGTGATCCTGAGAAATCCTCTCTGAGGTCTCATCAAGAATCGCAAAGTAGACAGATACGTAGCTGCACAAAGGTGATTATTAACCTCTTGGATCGTTTGCTTTATCAAAATCAGTTGTTTCAGTTTTGGTCTTAATTTGTGCGAGTCTTGACCATGTTTGCATCTTGCTTTGGACTTAAAAAGACAACGTTTTTGGTAATTTGATTTAGGTGCACATGCAAGGCAGTGCGGTTGGCAGAGCTGTTGATTTGAGTAGATCAGAATGTTATGAAGACCTATTCAAGAAGCTGGAAGAGATGTTCGACATCGAGGGTGAACTCTTGAAATCTACCAAAAAATGGCAAGTTGTTTACACCGATGATGAGGATGACATGATGATGGTTGGTGATGATCCATGGAAGTAAGTGCATTTGCGGTCTAATAGTCTTTAGAGAGCTGCATTTGTGAAAAGTAACACAGCATTGTTTATAACTGTAGAGCACCATCTACTGTATTGTGTCCTTTCTCTGTTGATAATCCTTTTGGTCTTCTGTGTTGTGTTGTAGTGAGTTCTGTGGAATGGTGAGAAAGATATTCATCTACACACCTGAGGAAGTGAAGAAACTTTCACCAAAGAACAAACTCACAGTCAGTGTGAGGATGCAACCCAAAGCTGATGCAGAGGAAAATGGGAACACGGAGGGCAGATCATCATCTATGGCTGGATCAAGATGAGTATATCACTGTTTTAAGGCATTTGCCTCGGTAGGAAAAGTCAAAAGCAGAAGCAAGAGTTCGTAAGACAATTGAGATGTCTGTGTATAGCAATGAAGTTTTATGTTTTCATGTCTGTCTTGTATGTCTTCAAGACTTATGAAGTCACTTAGATGTAAGTCTTTTGAGGAACTGCTTAGCTTTGTAATGAAAATGTGGAAGTCGAGATTCTCTCTTGTTCTACATCAAACCAATGGCCATGGTCAAAAATAAAATTATGAAATTTAAATACTCTCCCATTATATCTCGCAGTTCACATTATAAAGGTACAACAAACAAAATTCTTTGCTTCTTTTGTTTCAACTTGTTGGCAGAAAGAAAGCAAAATGCCATCACAAGTAGAGAGAAGCTGCGAATACAATGTCTCTCTTGATCTTGGTAACAGCTTCTTCTAGTTTAGCCTCAAGCTGTATTTCTCCTATGGATTTTGCAGCTACTATGAGCTGCTGCAGAACTTCCTCCATTCTCCTGATGGCTCTGATCAAGCTCCCTTCGAAAACACGAGCAATCTCCATGATCTCATAAAACTTCGACCCTTTTGCCCACGCATACACCGCCTCCATTATATCTGGCCTGAATGAATGCACAAAACTCTCCACATCGATTTCAACCTGTCAGATTTTCATAAAGAGACAGAAAGTTAAGGACCAAATGGGCAGAGATTTTGTTGCCTGAGCAGACACAAAAGAGTGTGGTAGTGAATACCTTGCAGTCAAGTTGAACTTCAGCTACACGCCTAGCCGTGTCTTGTAACTGTATGAAGAGCATGTCGAGTTCTTCTCTGGGTTTAGGAGCGTCAGGGAGTCTCTCTCGCCATACAAAGCAAGAGAGCAGAGAAACCAATTCCTCCACCTTTGCTTCCTTGAAGACACCACTGAACATTAGCTCAGTTAATGTCAATTCTTCTGCACTACTGATTTCACATGCAACCTTCCCCTTCAACTCCACAACATTATCGCTTGTGATGTATCTGCGTTTAAAGAGCATATTAATAAAACAGATTACAGTATCACAGTCAAGAAGGAATGTGACTAATGTTAAGCAAATATTTACCCTAGCCTTCGTAAAACACGCTTTCTGGCCTTAAGTTCATCTTTAAACGCCAATGCTGTTGAGGAACGGACAGTTTTCTTAAGTGATTTGATTTTGGCTGTTAGCTCCTCCTTCATGTGTAGAACTTTCAGCTTCTGTGTTATGAGGGGAGATTTCGCTATTTTGTGTTTCTCGAATAGGTTTTCCAGAGCCTCCAGCCTACGAACTGTCTTTTTGTAAGAGCTGCTCCGGATCTAATGAGGTAAAAGAGTCATATTCATCTCCTGAGACAGATCAAAGAGAGTAAAAGCTGAAGAGTACTGGGAGGAAAAACAATATACCTTCATGTCAACTTCAGGATCTAGGGGTATTCCATCTGGATGTCTAGAGAGTAACTCAGAAACCTTTTTCAAAGCATTTTCTCGAGCTTCTACTGGTACAAGATCTTTTGGTATGTTCATGATTGCACTGCTTAAACTCTTAATCTGTCAATGACAAATAAAGAAATAAGACCATCAAGAAGCAGAATCTGGGCAAGGATGAGCCGCATTTGAATGTGTATACCATTACAAAGACAAGACAATAAACGGAGCAGCCATGTTACCTGAGATAAAGGAACAGAGACCACAACAGCCTCACCACGCTCCTTAAATGGCACAGCTTTGATTTTCTTTTTGCCATTGCTATTTTTGGTCACCATACATCTAGTCAGTACATCAACGGTGTAGTTTGCATCCTCTGGTCTTTTATTATCATCATCTGAATGAATTGCTAATGTCAAGACGGAATCATTACTGTTTAAAAGGGATTAAGTAAAACAATTCTCAGAACTCTAACCTTCAGAGCTTTTGACTTTGTTGAATTTCATTATCACTCCCCAAGCATCCTGGTCTTCAATGCTGAATGATTGTGACTCTTCATTATCACTTGTGCAATCGAGAGAAACAGCTCTGTTTGGCAGCAAAAAGGGTAAGCAGTACTTTGGAGAGAAGACAATTTCACGTATATCCTTCTTCAGGCTCTTATATTGCAAAATCAGGTTATAGTAATTTTTCAAGCTTTCTTCTTCTTCAATCACCATAGAGTCTCTCTCTTCTTCCAGGGATTTTATTTGTTTCTGCAAAGACCAGACCACAATCACATCAGTTACATAAAGTGAACATCAAATAATCAAGAAATCTAACATATACTCATTTTGAAACTGCACCTGGAGATCAGGGATAGCACGATCAGCTTGAAACTGAAAGAAAGAATTGCGGAGAAGATTCTCAGGATCACCTTCTTCACTCCGCAGCTGATTCAGAAGCATGTTATAGCTCAAATGGAAGGCACTGAACGAAAAAAAAAGACACAAAACAGTTTAGGTCCAGAAGTCTAAAACTCTTAAAAGCAGAACTAATCAACCAGGTTGATCACTGTACCTGTTCAAAGCATCCGCACTTCCTTTGAGCATCGATTTAGCAACAGCAGGTTCCATCTTCTCATCAACCATGAGGATGCAGATACCACGTTTGTCAATACCTCGACGTCCAGCACGACCACTCATCTGTATGTACTCTCCACTTGATAGCCATCGGAACTTGTCTCCATCAAACTTACGTACATTTGTAAACACAACCGTCTTTGCCGGCATGTTCAATCCAATACTAAATGTCTCTGTCGCAAACAAACACTACAAGAAAATACTTCAAACGTAAGTGGCAATTAAAAAGCAAGAAAGCGAAAAACACAACCCAAAGGAGGAAAAACTCAAAACAAATTGATGCATGACAAAGCGAGTTATGGCAAACATCACACTACATACCAACCAGATCTAGAAAGTAGCAAATACTGAAAAGATGGAAACGGTAGCTCTATGCCTTCACATACCTTAATGAGACCTTCTTGAAATAATATCTCAATTACTTCTTTCAATATTGGAAGCAGACCCGAATGATGAACCCCTATACCACGTTTTAGGATCGGTAAAATATTCGACACCTGCAGTAAATGAATCCAGGAAACATGTTAATTTTCCCAAAGAACAAATATAGCCAACAACAAGCCAAATCACATTCTCAAACTAGATTAACTAAAAAACACAAATGACCCTTTATACACCATCAGGAGCAAGGAATATAAGCTATTAATTTTTTTGTACAATCTAGGAACCATGTCAACTTGCCTGAGGTAGCTTCTTATCATCATCTGAAAGGTTATCGATTGCACTGTTAAAGATTGTCTCCACAAGGTCTTTCTCATCATCGTTGTTTAAAACCAGCTTAGACATCTGCGCAGCAAACAGACAGGCATTACAATCACGTTTCATACACTGAACTTTACGTTTTACAATACACATAAAACAAGACACTGCAAGGTGCAAGTTAGCACACGAACCTGCATAGCAAGTGCCTCACATTCTTTTTTGCTGAAACTGAACAAAATCACAGGATCATATTGCCGCTGAATGATCATTTTCACCAATTTGAAGATATCACTTTCTTCACCAAGTTTCCCAATCATTAATCCCTTTTGAGACTTGCCATTGTCTCTTTTCTTGTCAGCATCATTAGCAGGAACCAACGCGTTAAGAGATTTCTGGAAGCTATCCTCATGAAACTTTGCCTTCTCATCCACAACCAAGTAAAGCCCATTTCCTCCAGCAGGGAAGACATAGTGCTGAAGTGGAGTTGGCCGATAATCAGTGTAAACAATGTGGCATGGTTGTTGGTGAACCTGCAGCAATACCAAACCTTAAAATCACATCTCCACAGCAACCAAACTAAATAAAAAAAAAATTCAACTTCTTTTCATTTCGCCAAGAAATGTTTACCTTTGCAACCCAATCAGCAAACTCCTTGGCATTGGGGACAGTCGCAGATAGAAACACAAAACGAGAGTTCTTAGGAGCCATTACAATACTTTCTTCCCAAACCACACCTCTCTCGCTATCACGCATGTAATGCACCTCATCAAATATAATCCAAGCAACTTCCCTCATAATCTCTGACCCTTTATACTGCATGCTACGCAAGATCTCTGTCGTCATGACCTGAAACCAAAAAGATCAAAAACTTAAGAACACTTGAGCAATTCCTGAGACGGCATCAAAACAGTGGTAAATACACTTACCAGGACAGAAGAATTAGGATCAATAGTCACATCCCCAGTCATCAAACCAACGTCAGAAAACTCTTGTTTAAAATCTCTATACTTCTGATTACTTAGTGCCTTGATAGGAGATGTATATATAACCCTCTGGTTCTCCTTCAAAGACATGGCAATTGCATATGATGCCACAACTGTTTTACCAGCAGATGTATGAGCTGAAACCTGAACATGAAACCATACAATTCAGTCATAAATTCTGATTCTATAATAGAAAATCATTGTAAAGTTCACAGCTTTAATCAATCAATCGAGTGATAGAAACCAAAGAAGTAAACTTTACAGAGTGCTATTGATTGCTCAACCAAATCAACTAAACTAGACTACAAATTCAGTAACCAAATTCACCTATTACTCAATGAGACTTGTTGGCGGTGAAAAAAATCCATACTTTGAGACCTAAGATACACATAATGGCCGGAAAGTTTGGAGCTTTAAGTCGAATTTTCAGCTTACCATGACTGATTCGCCGTTGTCGAGACACTTGATAGCTTCTGACTGGAAGGAGTCAAGGGTAAAAGGGAATTCTTTGGCCGGTGGTTTGTTGTCTCCTTGACCGGAGGGAGGAAGAGGAACGTAGTTTTCAGGGAAGGAGACGTCGTGAACGCAACCCACGAGCTCTTCGTTGATGATTTGGGTGGAATCATCATCTTCTCTCTGAACCTTCTGCGGCGGAGCACAATCAGAAGATTCCTCCTCCGATTTTCTCTTCACTGAACCCATGGAGAATGGGTGTGTATCGTTTTCCGCCGGCGAGTGCTCTGCTCTGGTTCAGGAGGAAGATGAAAACGCCGTCGAGGAGTTAGCGGCGAACAAAACGGTACATTGAAATTAGAAGGTGTAATAAGAAAGTGACGACAAGGGTATTTTTGGAAAAGCGTAGATAACTTTTCCCCAATCGCCAAAACCCTAATTATTTCATTAGTTCATTGTTTATCATTGAATGGACTGTTTAGCAATTTTGTGAAATGATTCTATTTTGTATTTAAAATCATGGGTTATACAATCCAATCCTTTATATCCATCTTTTTAAGGGAAGTTGAAAAAGGAAATCTAGAAAATAATTATTTTTCCTTCTAATATTTATAAAGAATGTATAATTCCTCTTCGTGAGTCTAACAGTGATACATTTTGAACTTTGAAATATTTAGAGGAGGATATTAAATTATGAATAGTTTTTTTTTTTTTTTTTTTTTTCGATTCATGTTTGTAAAATATCTATACTTACAAAAAAGGTAATGAGATCTAATGCCACTTGTCATGTATTAATTTTCTTAAAAATCATGAACTCAGTATGAACTATGAAGTAAGTCCACGTATAGTATGAGATACAAAAAGTAAAGTTTAGCCCATATGATATAATAGAATTTACAATGAGCATCAGCTTTTAATTACTTCTATCCCTTATATAGTTTTTTTTTTTTTTTGTTCAAATATCCTTTATATAGTTATATATTAAAAAACAGACTTTTATAAAAACAAACTTTGTCCCATATGTTATTTTCAATTGTGCCATGATGAAATGTCATCATTTGCCTCACTTTCGGGTCACTTTAAAATAAGACTCTTTTTACTAGAGTAATTACATGTTATGCCATTCATATATATTAAAGAATAAAATATTTATTATTAATTTAATCAGAAAAATATTTATTAATTAAAATTATTTCTTTCTATTTCCTTGTAGTGACGAAAATTGTAAATAAATTTAAAAGTATTTATTAGTCAACTAATCAGTAAAATATGGAAAGTTTTATTCAATTGTATTATATTAATTGTTTAAAAATCAATTTATTCTTCTATCATTTTTATTTAACTTTATTTTTCAAAAACATATTATATCATTATATCAAAATATTTAATAAAACAAATTAGTTTTTTTCTGCATATGCTATGATTTGAACTTTTTAAAACGAAGCAAATCTCTAAAATTGTCCCACATCGATTATATTTTGAGATGATAATTCAAACACCTATTATTAGAAAGGATCCAAATAATATAAGTAGAAAAACTGATTTATTAGGTTTCCAAACTTTAAAGTTTTTTTTTTTAATTTGATTTAATTTGGTTCTTTAATTAAATTAAATAATTAAATCGTATATTTTTTTTTCAATATTTTAGTTTGATCCAAATTTAAAACATAATAAAATCTAATAACTTAATATATAAGTTAAATTATTTTAGTTATTTAAAATTGATCAAAAACATTAAATATATATGTCATTTTATATTTATCAAAATATAAAACTATTTCAAACTTATTAAAATTTGATATAAATGTGGATTCAATTGTGTCCCTTAATATGTCGTCATCTTCCAATCCAGGCTAAAAAAATATACATCACTCAAAATTTTATCTAATGTAAACTGACATTTTTTATTGTTTAACACTCTATGTTTTTAGAATGATACTTATGTAAGAAGATATCTTATAATAAAACTAAATCAAGAAAATATCACCCAGTGCAGGCCGCGGGTCCAACCCTAGTATTTATTAAGATAAAGTATTTCAATCCTAGCATAAAAATGGATGACGTATATATGAGTATTCAGGGCTGAACCAGAAACATAGGGGACCAAAATAATTTAATAGAGTTTTGATGAATATATGGTCAAAAATCAATTTTTTTTATTATTTGGGAGCCAAAATCAATACATACTTTTAGAAAATAAATGTAGAGGCCATAGCCAAAAACCTTACTTAGCTCTCAGGGCCAGCCCCTGTGAGTATACCAAGTTTGTGAGACTCAACCATAGTATAACTGTATAACGAGCAACTCTTATTAAGTAGCTGAAAGTTGGGATAAAACAACATGAGTACAAGAGTAATTAATTAGAAATTTGGTCTCCACTTTCCTATTATGTGTTATTGAGTGACATCTTGTATAAAGCAAGAGATGGATGGAGGTATGATGTCACATATTATATTCCTAGAAGCAGATAAGATGGTGAGATCATGAAATCGAAAACAATGGAGCTGAAGTGGAAGTAAAATGCAAAAATTGTGCTGGATCAAAACAAAAATCAGGGAAATGGTTGAAATGCAGCTGAACGGAATGTGAATCAATATATTACAAACAGAAACTAACACAAAGTTTTCCGAATGAGAAACAAACATGCTCAATTAAACCAAGAAAAAAAGAAAAACTTATGAGCTATCATGGAACCATTGAATAAGAAAAGTGTATTATCACTTAAACCAGTTTTGATACCAACCACAAAGTATTTTTTGTTCTTCATCGTGTTACCCCAACAAAAAAATAGTAAGTCTGATTAATTATACTACAAATATACGAATGCAAAGAGTTTTATTTTATGTTTGATACGTTGATGATGCCCAAGTTGATAAGAGATGCTTCATACTAGATTCGTCTATACAAACATAAGAATGAAAAGAAGAGTCAATCGTACTTTTTCTATAGGATTTTTCATAGTTAAAATAAAGAGAAATGTTATTTTTTTACCCGGTGGTACGTAGGCTGGAATTGCTGAGAGCCTCAATTACCTTGGAGAAGCTTTGCACACATGTAATGTAACCGGAGGGGTTTGTTGGATTTTGTGATAATCTTCTCCTCCTTGCGAAAAATCGCGATAATTTTGTAAAGGAACACTCAAATTCTTTAAGGAAGTGATGAATCTCAGCCCATCAGGAAGCTCCTTTAACTTTTCACATTGATGAATCTTTAGAGTATGAAGAAGTTGCATGGAGCCTTCTTCGACTATCCACTCTTCCCACTCATCTAGTCCACATAAGTATAGTTTCTGCAGTTGAGGAAATCCACCGCCTAAGCAAACCATTCTCCTCCCAACAAAAGATCGTTCCCATAATTTAATCTCTTTCAAGTGAAGCAGCTTCTCTAGAACCGGCATCGGATCCTCCTCCAAACGACAATTCTTTAGATTTATAGTAGTAAGCTGAGAAGGGATGTGCTGTTCATCAGATAATCTTGGCATATATATACTCAGATCCAGCTCTTTGAGATTAATGGAATCCAAAACAAGCCCTTCTTTATCCTTTCTGGGACTGTAATCTTGTATACGAAGACTTTCCAAGTCTCTCAATTCACTTAGAGATGAAGATAAAGTTTCCATTGCAAACCCTTTGTGTCTGTATAAGAAGATAGAGAGCTCTCTGAGCCGTGTCATACCCTGGAGATCCCTCACGCTCCCGTTCTTTGTTGAGAAATTATGTAATATCTCTAGGTTGACTAGATCACCCAATTCCATCTTTACCTCATCATGTAATATCCGCGGAAGATACACGTATGTCAATTCCTGCATCTCTTTCAAGAAGTTAGGCATGTAGATTGAAGATCCTGCTTTTACACGAAGATCTATGTTTAAATAGAGCAGCAGCTTCAAATTCTGCATTGAAGAAGGTAGATGAGTTACATGTGCCATATATAAACTCAAATATCTCAAGTGTATGAGCCCTCCAATGGTAGAAGGCAACTTCCCTCCCTTAAAATCAGCTCTAGAGAGATCTAAAACTCTCATCAACTGTAGCCTATCAAAGAATAAACTTGAACACATCCGAACTTCCTTCCATCTCTCATTGATAAACAAGAGAGATCTAAGTTTTGGATTGTTCATCTTCCTCTCCACATTGAATGTTTTATCGCATTGATGTACAGCGAGTCTGCGAGATTTACAAGGAGCTTTAGATTTTGCAGTTGATTTTTCGTGAACAATTTGTAGGAAATTCTCTTCTTCAGCTTTAAGAAGACAAACTTCTCTCATCATGTCATGCAACTGACATGTTTCAAATCTTGACGTAGTAACATCTCTTTCAGAAATGACTATGTTTCTCTTCACCAATTCTTCCATGTTTGCATATGCAACCTCTTGAATGCTAGCCTCATTGTAATACCTTGGCCTTGGTATTCCTTCTGCAGCCCAGTAGTAAGATATTTTTCCCACGTCTATAGAATAATCTTCTGGAAAGTGGGCAAGATAAAGAGAAGCAAGGAGAAGAAAAGGGGAGGAACGGGAGAAAAGCGGAAAAGAGGAAGGAGGAAGATGGAGAGACGGAGAAAAGAAGGGCGGGAGGAGAGCGGGATAGAGAAGGAGAAGAAGAAGCGAGTGGGAGCGAGGGAAAAAGAGAGACAGTGAGCGGAGGAACAAACACAGGGGAAAGAGGCATATGCAACCTCTTGAATGCTAGCCTCATTGTAATACCTTGGCCTTGGTATTCCTTCTGCAGCCCAGTAGTAAGATATTTTTCCCACGTCTATAGAATAATCTTCTGGAAAGTGGGCAAGATAGAGGAAGCAGTGCTTTAAATAAACAGGCAGCTCTTCGAAGCTCATAGACAATATATGGTAAACAGAACTGATATTTCTGTCATTGAAGCTTCTCCCTCCAACGATAAAAGATCCAATATTCTTATGTACCCGTTTCCACTCATCCAATGTGTATTGTGGTGCCAACAACCCTCCTAACACTTTTACTGCCAACGGTAGTCCTCCACAATGCTTGATCATTTGCTTTCCCATCTCTTCCATTTCAGAATCTACACAACATTTTCAAGCATATAATTATCACTATCAAGATATGGTTCAATTACATGACTGTTAAAAACGATCATATGTATTGGAGAGAAGATTAAGAACGTCATTACTTAAAAAAAGAAGAAAAAACTTACTGGTCCTATCTTTCATAGGAAATGCTATCTTACGAAAAAGTATCCAACTTTCCTCAGGGGTGAGGCATTCTGGTTTAAAAATGATACATGTTGGGTCTACATGTAATGCCACTCCTTCGTTGCGAGAAGTAAGTAGTAACTTCCAACCTGAAATAAATAACATAGTGTTTTGTGTCAAATACTATGTGCTTTTTCCATGATCATATCATTAAATTCAAAATAGACTGACATGCAATAAATTAAAAGGAGTTTAATCACCTTTATTTGGTGGAAAGATAGGCTTTATTCTGTCCCAGTGTTCTGCTTCCCAAATATCATCAAGGACAATCAAAGAATTGCTGGTTTCCAACAATCTAAAAAGATTTTCTTGGAGCTCATCTTCAGTCATATCTGACTCCCTATGGTCATCAATATGTTTTGGTCGAAGTCTCTTCAAGATCGTCTCCCACACATATTTTCGTGTAAACTGTTGTGAAACACACACCCACACAACTCCATCGAAATGGTTTTTTACAATCTCATGATTGAAAACGTGTCGAGCCAGGGTAGTTTTACCAATACCGCCCATCCCACAAATAGAAACAACTTGAGTACTCTTTCTCTCTACCAAATAGCCAACCAATTTGTTCACGTTTTGCTCCAAACCCACAAAATCCCTTTCATTGTCGCTAGAAAATGTTTTTCGCATCTCCCTTTGTCTTTCTTGTAGAGGATTGGAATACCCGCCACCATCAACTACCAACTGCTGCACCCCAAAACTCTGCATATCACGGATCACCTTGGAGATTCGCTTGCTTATGCCTTCCATTTCTATAGCAAATTCCCTATGCTCCACTACAATGCAAGAAAGTCTTCTCATATGCTTTTTTATGCCACTTGGTTTTTGGAGCTCTTCCTTGAGAAGAAATGTTTCGATTATATCCTCAGCGTCAAAAACAATTTCTTTGATCTCTTCCACACAATTTCTCACCATCGCAATTGCATGTTTCTTAGCATCTGCATCTTTTAAAAATGACCTAAGCAAGTTTAGATCACTTTTGAGTTCACTGAGGTTCTCTTTAACTCCCTTAAGTCGATCAGATTCTCGGACAAGAAGGTCCCAAAGCTTCTCAACTCCAAAAGATAAAAGTGTCTCAGCCATAAATCTCCTGCTTAACCAAAAAATCATACGAGTTCATAATCCAGATAATACTATCCGAAATTTACAGAATTAAATAAACTATTCGAGTGGAATAATTAAATCCATAGATGGTTCTACGTACAGAGACATGAACACTACATTACTCTTAATTAGAATAAAAAACATATATATATATATATATATATATACAAATATACAAAAGATCCGAGAACCTGGTTCCATATAAATTATAAAACTAGTAAAGAAAGAAAAGTAAGAAATGAATTACCTCTTTCGTAATCGTTCTCTCGTCTAATCAGTATGAAGAAAGAAGAAGAAGAAGAAGGCGATGGTTTTTTAGTGTTTTCGCTAGATCTATGCCAAAAGATCTATTGGAAGAGTTGACTCATATCCGACGACCAGCTATCGTGAAAATCGAGTGGCTAGAAATTCTTATGCAATTATTGAGGTCCCATTCTGTTTCGGTTTATTACTCATCTAAGACAATCAAATACATGTCCTGCTCGTAAACAGTTTTTTGCTTTCACATTTTGCTGTTGAACGAAATTCAGTGAGTCTGATAACACAAGAAACCCATAAAAAAAACTGGTGACTTTTCTTGGATGACCAATATTGAATCATAATAACTTTTCAAAGAAGTACACACCAGTGAGCATGTTTCACATAAGCAGTGAGAAATCAAATTTGACTCAAGGCAACCGGTTACACCATCTTCAAACTTAATCACAGACCTAACAAATGTAAAGATCACAACTTTTTAACTTTGTACTACTTCAAAAGTAGCAAACTCTTGTTTTCGTTAGCTTTCTATTGTTATTCAAATCATTTTTACCCAAAATGAATAGCTTTCTTAAACAATATTTCCAAACAAATTCAAAATGATAATTTATCAATACAAAATATCATCAAGAACAAAAAAAAAAAAAAAACAAAGCCACCTAGTAACACTATTCCAATATTATTTTGAAATTTCTTAACTGAATTATAAGAGAATCTTTATAAAATCTATAAATTTTTATTACTCTTCATTACTACACCTAAGTGGAATAATAAAAATTCTCAGGCTCATAGTCAAGTGTAATATGACAAATGTGTTGAACTTTGTAGTAATCTTCTCCTCCTCTTCTCAATTTCGTCAAAAACTCCCATGAAATTGGTCTTACCACCAAATATTCCAAACAAGTTATAAATCTCAGCCCATCAGGAAGTTCCTCTAACTTGTCACAACCATAAATCAATAAAGCATGAAGAAGGGGCATGGAGCCTTCTTCTACTATCCACTCTTCCCATTCCTGTAATCCACGTAAATCTAGCATTTGCAATTTAGGAAATCCACCGCTTGAGAAAACCATTCTCCTCCCACATAATGTTTCCTCAAAACCATGCCCAAACGAGTCACGCATTTTCGCACCGTCTATAACAAGATTTGCCAGGTTTCTCAATTTACCTAGAGATGAAGGCAGAGTTTCCAGATTACACCCACCTCTAACTGAGATAGAGAGACTCACAAGCCTTGTCATATGCTGAAGATCCGTCAAACTGCTATGCTTTGTTGAGAAATTCACCAATGTCTCCAAGTTGATAAGATTTTCTAACTCCAACTTTATACTATCTTGAATTCCCACCGGTAAACAGAGGTATCTCAGTTCTCGTAACTCCTTAAATATATTGGGCAAATAGATTGGATATCCATATACATCTAGGTTCAAATAGAGAAGCTGCTTCAAATTCCGCATAGAAGAAGGTAGGTGAGTTACATCTCCAAGATATAAACTCAAATATCTCAAATGGATGAGCTTCCCAATGCTAGAGGGTAAGTTCCTTTCCTCAAATGTGGCTCTAGAAAGATCTAACACCCTCATAAACTGTAGCCTTGTAAAGCATAACGTTGTTGATGACATCCATTTTAACCCCGGGTACTGATCGATAACCAAGAGAGATCTAAGTTTTGGATTCTTGATATACCGCTCCATATGAATAGTATAATCCAACGAATGTATGACGAGTCTGCAAGATCTGCAAAGTGATTGAGAGCTTCCATCTGACGTAACACTACTTGTATCAACAATGTGTAAGAAGTTCTCTTCTTCAGCTTTAAGGAGACAAACTTCTCTCATCATATCATGCAAGTGACATGTTTCAAATCTTGATGTTATAACGTTTCTTTCAGAAATAACCATATTTCTTTTCACCAGTTCTTCTATGTATTCATCAGCATCGTCTCGAATGGTCGCTCCATTGTTATTCCTTGGCCTTCGTATTCCTTCTGCAGCCCAGTAATAGGACAAATTCTCTATATTTATTGCATAATCTTCTGGAAAATGGGCTATGTAAAGGAAGCACTGCTTCAAATAAATAGGCAGCTCTTCAAAGCTCAGATACAGAACATTGTAAACTGAACTGATATTTCTGTCACTGAAGCTACTCCTTCCTCTCACGATATGAGATTTAATATTCTCATATATCCTATTCCACTCACGCAATGTGTATTGCGCAGCCAACAACCCTCCTAACACCTTAACAGCCAACGGTAGACCTCCACAATGTTTCACCATTTGCTTTCCCATCTCTTCCATTACTTCATCAACCTTATCTTCTACACAGTATCATCAAGAATATATTAATTATGTCCAGATATGGTTCAGTTACAAGAATGTTAAAGAATCATATGTCTTGGAGATATTCTAGTGAATCTGTTTAAGGCAAATATCATTGTTTATGCCTAAGAAAAAAAAAAATTTACTGGTTGTGTCTATACTTGGAAATGCTGTCCTGCGAAAAAGTGTCCAACTTTCTTCGGAGGTTAAGCATTCTGGTTTGAATGTGACACATGTTGGATCTGCATGTAATGCCACTCCCACATTGCGAGAAGTAAGTAATATCTTAAAAGCTACAATTTATTTTGACCATGTTTGTCTTGTCAATTATAGTCAATTTTTTTATAAGAAATAAATATATAAAGATTTATGTATTTAGCATTAGATGTCACCTTTTTTTGGTGGAAACACATGCTTTATTAGGTCCCAATCTTCTTCTTTCCACATATCATCGAGGACAATCAAAGACTTACTGGTTTCCAATAGTCGAAAAAGTGTGTCCTGGAGCTTGTCTTCGGTCATGCTTGACACTCTATGCTCATCATATCCTGAACTAAGCTCCTGGAAGATCGTCTGCCACACATATTTCCGTGTAAACTGTTGTGAAACACACACCCACACAACTCCATCAAAATGGTTTTTTACCGTCTCATGATTAAAAACTTGTCGAGCCAGAGTAGTTTTACCAATACCGCCCATCCCACATATAGAAACCATTTGAACGTTCTCTTCCTCCACCAAATAGCCAACCAATTTCTTAACATTCTCCTCAAACCCCACAAGATCATTTTCACAGTTGCTAGGAAAAGTGTGTCTCATCTCCCTTTGTCTTTCTTGTAGAGGATGTGAACACCCGCTTCCATCAACAATCATCTGTTGCACACCGAAACTCTGCATATCGCGAATCACCTTGGAGATCCTCTTACTTATGCCTTCCATTATGGATGCAAGTTCCCGGCGATCTACTACAATGAAAGCAAGTCTTCTAATGCGCTTCCTGATCCCACTTGTTCGTCCAAGTTGTTCCTTTAGAAGAAAGGTTTCAATGACATCCTCCGCGTCAAATACGATTTCCTTGATCTCTTCCACACAATTTTTCACCAACGCACTTGCATGTTTCTTAGCATCTGCATCTTTCAGAAAGGACCTCAGCAAGTTTATATCCCTTTTGAGTTCAGTGAGTTGCTCATCAACTCCCTTAAATCGATCAGATTCTCGGACAAGAAGGTCCAACAGCTTCTGAACTCCAAATGACAAAAGTGTCTCAGCCATTAATCTCCTGCTTGACCAAGAAATTATATGAGCTCATAATCCAGATTATACTATCCGTATGAATTAAATATACGTAGAGGTTTTACAGAGACATGAACATTACAATACTCTTAAAATAAATAAAAAAGTATATATAATATATACAAAAGATCCGAGAACTTTCTTCCATATAAAACTAATAAAGAAAGAACAGTAAGAAATGAATCACCTCTCTCGATCGTGTTGGCTTTTTCGTTCAATCAATATTGATTAGAAGAAGAAGAAGAAGAAGAAGAAGAAGGCGATGAATTCATTTTAGTGTTTTCGCTAGATCTATGCTAAAAGATCCGTTATAAGAGTTGACTTCTCCAACGACCAGCTGTAGTGAAAGTGATGCATAAATTGAGTGGCTGGAAATTCTTTTAAGCAATCTGTTGAGGCCATTTTATCTCTTGTAGCCACTTGTTAAGTAACGTACCACTTGTTGAATTACATTTGTTAAAATTATGAATGTTTTCTTGTTATTGAACTGAATTAAGTTTTCATCAAAAAATGATAAAAAGTTACCAAACTAGTTATGATAGATTAATCATGTTTTGTTTTTTTCTAGTTATATTTTCATTATGCTAGTTGTATTGTATATAGTGGAATCACTTTTCAGAAACATCAAAACATGATTATTTGATAATGGTAAAAAATAACGGAATCGTGAAAACGTGAAAAAAAACTACTTACCATTCAAACCCGTAATGAACGATCCATAGCCACTTATCAAAGTTTATGAAGTAAGTAAGGCACGTATAAAATTTATGAGTCACAAAGTAAATATTTTAGTATAGCAATATTATACAATAAGATGAGTTTTTTTTAAACACAAGATGATTTCTATTATTTTTCAGGGATCTTATTATATAAAGCCAGATGCGCGTGATGTAATTGCGACACATAGGATTTTTATAATTTATAGGAACGTGACATGTGTCATCTTTAATATTACGTCTATTAAAATCGTGACACGTGTCTTGAGAAAAAAAAGACTAACTTAAAAATTATTAGATAAAGGAAAAAACTAAAAGAAAAAAAAATCTATTATAGTTAAAAGAAAAAATGATATTTGTCATATCCTGATAAAAAAAGGTTTCCCATTCATCAAACTTATATTATCCAAATACTGAATAAATTCAAAATAATATTATAAATAAAATCATATTATTACATGGAATAGGTTATGTAAACTAAATTTTCTATAAGCTATATATAAAAAATCAAAATATAATAAGTTATAGCGTTCATGATTTAATTGTGTGCTTTTATCTTTTGTATAATCTTCTCTCTCATTAAGAAACAAAAATTCATGTCTTTAATTGAAGATATCAATGAAGAGTATTTAACTCTAAATCAGTTGGATCGAAATTAAAATTATTGTCGTTACATGTATCTAATATTTGATCCGGTGAAGATATGTGGTAACACAAGTAAATTAGAAAAATGTTAAACATAAATAAAAACTAGCAAAATAATTATAAAAAACTAACTAATAATGAAAATGAAAATTTATAATGGAATGAGGAAAAAAATTGAGAAAGAAACATATAAATAGAAAACTAACAAAATAATTATCAAGCAACTAACCAATATTAATTTTTTTATAATAAACCGATATTCTAATTTTTAAAAGTTTAATTCGCAATTTTTTCTTAGGTAAAATATATTAAATAAAGATCTCATCAATTGAAATCTCTTGAATGGAACAATAAAAGTTTGATGAATTAATCAGATCAGATTTAGACATGTGTAAAACTTTTTTTTTTTTTTGTCGACAGCCTCTATTTCTACAACAACTCGGGGATCCAAGCTGGTGAAACAAAGTTTACATAATACACATCAATAGGTAGTGCTCGAGCACTTCGTGCTAACTTGTCTACCTTCGTGTTTTTCTATATTGGATTAAAAGTAAAGTAAAACAATTTAATTTTATTGGATTAACAGTTTATTTTAAAAAAAAATCCGTTACAATAAAAATGTAAAAATATTAAAAAATTTATTTTATTTAAATATTTTTTATCGGGTTTTTAATATTAAGTGATTAAATTTTGTTTAATATTTTTCTTAAAATAAACCCGCATATACGCGGGGCTTAATCTAGTCCTATATAAAGCAAGACTTGGAGATAAGGTTAATTTTGAAACAAACAAAAAGTCTCTAAACAAAGATACAAAGATGCTCAAACAAAACAAAAAAGCAACAAACAAAATAAGCCAATAACAATTAACAATTATCAATATACAGTAGCATCACTTAACCAGAAAACAATATATATAGAAACCAGTTTTGATAGAAATCACAAAGTATTTTCGTTCTTCGTCATGATATTCCGACAGAAAACGTTAGTGTGATTAATAAGATACTACAAAAGACAAGAATGCATGAGTTTTATTATTTTGATACCCTGATGCCCAAGTTGATAAGAGAGTAGATTGAGAACGAATTCGTCTACAAAAAAAAAAAACTTCAATCAAATCATACTTTGTCTAAATTTTTTTTTTTTGTACTTTGAAAACTTAGATTTGGGGAAATATTTTCTTTTTACCTGGTGGTACGTAGTCTATCATAGGTCAGACTCGGAGCTTGAACTATGAAAACTCAAATGGAATTGAACAGAAGGGACATGTTGGATTTTGTAATAATCTTCTCCTCCTTTCAATACTCTCTCCTCCCATTTGCTTCCGAGAGTTAGATCCTTTAAGGAAGTGAGGAATCGCAGCCCATCAGGAAGCTCCTTTAAATCCTCACAATAACCCATTTGGAGAGTATGGACAAGTGGCATGGAGCCTTCTTCTACTATCCACTCTTCCAACTCAACTAATTCAAGTTCTTGCAATTGTGGAAAACCACCGCCCGAGCAAACCATTCTCTTCCCACAAAATGAACTTTCCCCTAAACGAACTTTTTTCAGATGAAGCAGCTTCTCTAGAATCGGCATTGGATCCTCCTCCAAACAACAATGACGTAGAGATATAATTGTAAGTCGAGAAGGGACGTGTTGTCCACTAGGAAACCTTGGCATATATATACTCAGATCCAGCTGTTTGAGATTAGCGCAATCCAAAACAAGTCCTTCATCATCATTTGTGCGCCAGTAATCTCTTATAGTAAGATTTTCCAAGTTTCTCAATCTACTTAGAGATGATGATAAAGTTTCCATAGTACACCCTTTGTCTCTGATAATTGAGAGTTTTCTGAGTCGTGTCATACCTTGGAGATCCCTCAAATTTCCATGCTCTGTTGAGAAATTCTCCAAAGTCTCCATGTTGACTAGATTACGCAATTCCATCTTTACGTTCTTACTTATTCTCAACGGAAGACAGAGGCATCTCAATTCTCGCATCTCTTTAAAGAAGTTGGGCATGGATATTGCACATTCCATTTGATCAACAACTAAGTTTAAATAGAGCAGCTGCTTCAGATTCCGCATAGAAGAAGGGAGATAATCTACTTGTGCCAGAAATAAACTCAAATATCTCAAATGGATGAGCCTCCCAATGCTAGAGGGTAACTTTCCTCCATCAAACTCGGCTCCACCAAGGTCTAAAACCCTCATCAACTGTAACCTGTCAAAGAATAGATGTGAACCATAAAAACTATCCCTCCGCTCGTTCCCATTGATAACTAAGAGAGATCTAAGTTTTATATTAATTATCTCCCCCTCCATATAGGATGTTTTATGTATGGCGAGTCTGCGAGATTTACAAGGAGCTTTAGATTTTGCAGTTGATGTGTCGTCAACAACTTGTAGGAAGTTCTCTTCTTCAGCTTTAAGCACACAGACTTCTCTCATCATGTCATGCAACTGACATGTTTTCAATCTTGAAGTGTAAATGTCTCTTTCAGAAATAATCATGTTTCTCTTCACCAATTCTTCTATGTACCCATCTGCGACTTCTTGAATGCTGGCTCCAACGTAATACCTTGATCTTTGTATTCCTTCTGCTGCCCAAAAATACGACAATATCTCCATATCTATTGGATAATCTTCAGGAAAATGAGCAAGGTAGAGGAAACAGTGCTTCAAATAAATCGGCAGCTCTTCATAGCTCAGAGACAGTATATGGTAAACAGAACTGGTACTTCTGTAATTGAAGCTTCTCCCTCCAACGATGTGAGATTTAATATTCTCATTTATTCTTTCCCACTCATGCAATGTGTTTTTTGCAGCTAACAACCCTCCTAACACTTTTATAGCCAACGGTAGTCCTCCACAGTGCTTGATCATCTGCTTTCCCATCTCTTCCAAATCAGAATCTGAACAACATAATAATCATTCTTTCAATATGGCTCAACTACATGATGTTCGAAATCATCATATGTCTTGGAGATAAAGCTAGAACATCATTATTTATGATTTACTTTAAAAAAGAGCTTACTGATTGCATCTTTCATAGGAAATGCTATCATTCGAAAAAGTGTCCAACTTTCTTCAGGGTTTAGGCATTCTGGTTTAAAAATGATACATGTTGGATTTGCATGTACTGCTACTCCTTCATTTCGAGAAGTAAGTAGTACCTTCCAACCTGAAATACAAAACATAGTGTTTAATGACCAATACTCTATGTGCTTTTTCATGATTAAATCGTTATATTCAAAAATGATGTATGCAATAAAAGGAAATTCACCTTTATTTGGTGGAAAGACAGGCTTTATTCTGTCCCAGTGTTCTGCTTCCCAAATATCATCGAGAACAATCAAAGAATTGCTGGTTTCCAACAATTTAAAAAGATTTTCCTGGAGCTTGTCTTCAGTCATATTTGACACTCTATGCTCATCATATTCTGAACTAAGCCGCTCCAAGATCGTTTGCCACACATATTTCCGTGTAAACTGTTGTGAAACACAGACCCACACAACTCCATCGAAATGGTTTTTTACCATCTCATGATTAAAAACTTGTCGAGCAAGGGTAGTTTTACCAATACCGCCCATCCCACAAATAGAAACCACATGAATGCTCTCCTTCTCTACCAAATAGCCAACCAATTTGTTCACGTTTTGCTCTAAACCCACAAAATTGCTTTCGTTGTCACTAGGAAAAGTGTGTCTCATCTCCCTTTGTCTTTCTTGTAGAGGATTGGAATACCCGCCACCATCAATGAACAACTGTTGCACCCCAAAACTCTGCATATCACCGATCACCTTGGAAATCCGCTTGCTTATGCCTTCCATTTCTGTAGCAACTTCCCTCCGGTCCACTACAATGCAAGAAAGTCTTCTCATATACTTCTTGATGCCACTTGGTTTTCGGAGCTCTTCCTTGAGAAGAAATGTTTCGATTATATCCTCCGCGTCCAGAACAATTTCTTTGATCTCTTCCACACAGTTTCTCACCATCGCACTTGCATGTTTCTTAGCATCTGCATCTTTCAAAAATGACCTAAGCAAGTTTAGATCACTTTTGAGTTCAGTCAGCTGCTCATTAACTCCCTTAAATCGATCAGATTCTCGGATAAGAAAGTCCCAAAGCTTCTCAACTCCAAACAACAAAAGTGTCTCAGCCATAAATCTCCTGTTCAACCAAAAAAGTATACGAGTTCATAATCCGGATAAAACTATCCAAAATTTACAGCCATAAATAAACTAGTCGAGTGGAACAATAAAATCCATAGATGGTTCTACGCAGAGAGACATGAACATAACATTACTCTAAAAACAAATAAAAAGTATATTTAAAATACACAAAAGATCCGAGAACCATATATATAAAGCTAATAAATAAAAAAAGAAAAGTAAGAACTGAATCACCTCTCTCGTAATAGCTTTTCGTCCTATCAATATGTAGTAGAAGAAGAAGAAGAAGAAGGCGATGAGTTCATTTTAGTGTTTTCGTTAGATCTTCTAAAAGATCCATCAGAAAAGTTGACTCCTATCCGACGACCAGCTTTAGTGAAAACTGAGTGGCCAGAAATTCTTATGCAATTATTGAGGCTATTTACTTGTAGTCACTTGCTAGTTGCTACGTACCAACTGTTATATTACATTTGTTTTGAAAAGAATCAAGTTTTCGTTGGATTTTACTCCTTGATATTTGTTTATGCCTTTAGGGCAGCATTCCGCAATATTTAATCACTTGGTTAGTTATGTCTTCTATTTTCTTCCTGGACACTTAATTCTAGTCACTAAAAATGAAATGCTTCTCTTTTTAATATGTTAGATAAATTATAAATTATAAAAAATTGCATATCCTCACGAAAGTTCTCAGATATTTTGCTGAAACCATAAATCTTAGATAAACTGTGTTCGCGTTACTCTTAAATGATTTACTGTGTTTTTACAAAAAAAAAAAAAAAAAAAAAAAAAAAATCTATCCATTGCTAAAATAATTGCAATCCAAAAAGCCTTTAAAAAAAATAACTGCAATCCAAAACGCCAGGATAATATATCTGTAATTTATCAGGCACATTTTGGCCAACAAGCAAATGCGCATAAAACTGGGAAGAGCATACAATAATGATACGGAAATTGTAAGATATACTCATGGATAATAGGGAAATTAGATTAGCTTTTCTGACACAATTTTGTACAGTGTTATGTCTAAGAAAATTACTATATACCCCTTTTACTTTATTAAAGAAAAACAATGTTTAAGATTCAACTAACCGAGATTCAGAAGCTGAAATCTTACCTCGACCATCAATGGGGTTAGCCAAGGCGTTTATAACACGCCCCAAATAAGCCTCACTCACCGGTATCTGAGCAATTTTTCCCGTAGCTTTGATTGAACTTCCTTAGAAAACAATTAGAAAATTACAAAAACGAAACCATTCTTTTTGAGCAACAAAGAACAATTAATCAAGTCCGCGAACGGGTTTTCCAATAAGCTTTACAAGGAGTTATAGGAACCCTAAACAGCTGTTTGAGTAACGAGTTACATTTACGTATGCAAATATTGGTATGTTTGGTACGATGAAAGAAATAACGGATTTGTTCTTTCCTTACGATTATGATAGGCATTATTTTTTTTCTTCCAAAAAAGAATTAGGACAATACTCATGGTAACCATTAGAGCCGACGAAATTAGTAATATTATCCGTGAACGTATTGAGCAATATAATAAAGAAGTAACGATTGTAAATACCGGTATCTTATTAAATGATAATAAGATAGAGTAATACCACAAAATACCCATCAATACTTCAAAAATTAACTGACACATTTATGTACTGTTTGGCCCCACATGTTTATTGCTAAAATTATAGAAATACCCTCCTGCTTATTCATCAATTGTTTCTGTTTATTTTTTTGCAAAGCTGCGGCGGCGACGGCGGATAAATCACGAAGAAATTGATGAGATAGAAAAAAAAAAGAGAAGAAGGAGAAGGAGAAACAGAAGATGAGCCGAGGGTTAGAGATTTCTCTCTCTTTTCTTATTATCGAAGTGACGGCGCCAAGCTGAAGCATCACTCCCCATGTGTCGAATTTAGCCTCGCCGCGAAGGAGATCGAGAGCATGTTGGTCATCGTCTCCGATTTGAAGGATTCCTTATTGAGGAGGACTCCGATTGAGTAGACGGCGACCGGCATTAGGGCTTTGAGCATCTGGATAAAGGAGACGAAGAGGTAAATGTAAGTGGAGTTGGAGAGTCAGAGGTAGATGGAGTACAAGGCACCGATCGGGACAGACTGGAATAAACCTCACGGGACACTGAAACTAGCTCGACGAATTTGAAGACCTTGATAAGGAGGACGGTGAGGGAGGAGCAAAAGGCCATGTGGATCATGGTGAGAGTGATCGGGAATGGCCAATTGTACATCTTCTTGTCGAGGATGTACGACGATGATGGTGAAGCTGAGGAAGATCCATGGTGGAGGAGGAGGAGGACGGAGGAGGTGGTGCGCAGGAGGATAGTAGCGTATCTGCGATAATATCGAGGTGATGATAATAAGCTAATTCTCTTATTAGCAAGTTAACTAGTTAAGAGTTAGCAAGTTAATTATCTTATTTTATATTTCATATTTCCTAAATTTTGACAACTTGATTAGCTTGATAATTTTTGATATGATAACTATGTTAACATAAAAATTAATGTGTAAATTAACAGGTTTATATTTTTGTAGCATGATAATTTGATTAACACAGTATTATTTTGAAATGATAACTATGTTAACATGAAAATTAATGTGTAAGTTAACAGATTTTTTTTTTTAGCATGATAATTTGATTAAAATATGCTAATTCGCAAAATGTTAATTGAGTTAACAAGATAATTCTCTTAGTTTATATATTAACTTGATTAGCTCGATAACATTTGATATGATAATTATGTTACCATTTTAATATCGATGAATAGTAGTTCTGAATAAAATATGAACAGTATTTTTGAGGTGAGACAAATAGTGTTTCCGATTTGCTATATCAGAAAATAAGTTTTTATGGCAATGGCATTTTCTGTAATTATAATAAATAAAAAGGTCAAATTTGGCTTTTATTATATGATAATTGGCTTAACTCTATATGTTAATTTAGTTAACACAATAACTGAATAGTGTTAGCATAGGAACTGAATAGTTAGCATAGTAATTAGATAGATATTAATGATAACATATCAGTTAACACGGCAATTGGATAGTTAGCATAGTATCATTTTAGTTAGTGTGATAATTTCCAATTTTTATTGTATAATAATTAGCTTAACTCTATATGTTAATTTAGTTAACATGATAACTAAATAGTGTTAGCAGAGTAACTGAATAGTTAGCATAGTAATTGGATAGATACTAATGATAACATATCAGTTAACACGGTAATTGAATAGTTATCATAATATTATTTTAGTTAGCATGGTAACTATTTAGTTACAACTAAAATTGCATAAAATCTGGTGATTAATAGTGTATTCAATTTGGGATGAATAGTGTATTTTGTGTAATTAATGAATAGTGTTGATGAATAATTATCAATGGCATTTTTGTAATTTATTTTAAAAAGAAAGGGCATCTTTGGTTAAAATTAGTTTCTCTCTTTGTATCAATCTAATTTATGGTTATTACACTCCACATTCTTAATTTTGATGTTATCTGTGTATATTCATTAAATTTACCCATATAGATATCAGAAAAATATATTTTATTTCCACATTAGACAGCTCAATATGGATCTCTTAAAGTTTTTTTAATATTAAAAAATATTTTTTGAAAAGAAAAAAGCGATAATAGGCCAACCCGTGGTGGTAAAAAATATGTATATAATGAATTTTCTCATAATTTTATTTTCTAAATTTAGTGCATTATTAATAAATGGATGAAAAATCTATATTTGTTACTATCTTTTCTCATTGACTGATTTGCTAAAAACATAAATATAAAATGAAATATTATACTCCTGATGATAGTAAATTACTTTTAATAGTTTAAATAAAAAAATCAGAATTGGAATTATCAAAGGAAAAAACAAGGGAAACAATTGCTGTAACTAGTAACTACATTTAAAATTTTAAACAAACGAGGTATAGAATACAATTTTTAAAACTATTCCAAATTGGGAATATTTTGGATGCAGTCTTAAGAAGATGTTGTCATGAGAGAGTTCTAGATATTAACACTGGAAACGAATATAGATTATTTTTTTCCCAGTGAATGTTCTTCATCTGTTACTCAACGTACGGTTCGATGAGTCTATTTGAAGGTACGGATTTTTGTTTTCGTTCTTTAGTTTTCAAAATTTAATTGTCCAAATTTTGTTTCAATAAAATTTATGGTTTGATCCTCTCATAACCTGTCTCAGAGTTGTGTCCTTACCTGGCATCTGCATATTATTTGGGTACACCTGATGATTTCGAGCGTGAGAATTATCCATATATCACAAGAACCGAGAAAGATGAGCCTCAGTATACAATTGAGCAAGAAATCTCCATACAAACGAACAAATCGAAGAAAGCGAGGTTCGCGTTATGGTTTTTTTTTTTTTTTTGGACATACGTTATGGTTTGATATGTAAATTTAATCCTTTAATCAATCATTTTTATGAAAATAAGTGTTGGTTATTTGTGCTAGGGGTTTGATATCGATTACACTTTATTCCGGTGCATTTTCAACTACAGTCCGGTTGATCTGAATGGACATAGTTTCGTTAAGGAGCCAGAGACCAGTGGGGATTTACTCGGGAGGCTGTCTCGGAAATCCCTTGAAGGCTACAACGAGGAGGAGAATACAAAGTATGGATTTGGCAAGGTTGTCAAAGCCAACTTTCACTCGGTTAATGGGTACATGTTTTTCATCACCTTTGAAGTTATGGATCCTTATGATAACCTGCCAAAACTCTTCCAAACTAGGGTCCACTACTCTTCACATCGGCCGTCCACATATTACTTTTGCAGGCCTAAACCTGATCTAAAAGGTACGTACACATTTTCTTTTCAGAATAATTTGAATCATATATATAGATTGGCATTTGGGTTTGGGTTGTTCCGGTTTCAGTTTTTGTCCCATTGTTTTTAGAAAATATGTCACACCCAGGATTAAACTATTAGTTGGATTCGGTTCGGGTTTCCATTTTCCAGGTTTTAGTTTAATTTGGTTTGATTCGACATTAGAAAAAAAAATTGTAGTAATTTTTTCTTTTTTTAGTTTTAGCAATTTTTTTATTGAAATTTTAGAATTTCAAAATATTTAAAAATATTTTTTCTATATACCTAATTAATAACAGTAGTTTAATAAATTTTGGTTAATCGGTTCGATTTGGTTCGAGATCTGTTAATTCAGTTTAGAAATTTTTATTTTCTTCGAGTTGTTTTATAATTCGGTTCGATTTGGGCTCATGATTTTTGGTTTGGGTTCGGAAGTTCAGTTCTTTTTGGGAATTTTGTTATATAGGATTATACCAAAAGAAGAAATGATTCGGTTATGCGGTTATGCCTCTTTTCGTTTATCTTGTGAGGATTTATCTTTTTCTTTTGCTTTCCTCTTCTTCTGTTGAACGATTAAAAATTTGCTACTATTCTCTCTTTCTTAATGTACTTACAGTATTTCGAATATTTTTGCAGTTGAGTGTGTGTAAATATACAATGGTAAATGGAATATTTAGCCAAGGGTCTATACATCGATAATTCTTCTAGTTCTGTTGAAGTTAGAATCATATATTTCTCCATTGATTTTGTTATATTTTGTCAATAATTATTTGCAGATCGACATTTGCAGGAATGTTGTGAAGAGAAATAAGAGATGCTCATTAATTTGTCTTATCATACAAACTTGTACGTATCTTATCTATTTGTGGTAGATTTTTTACCTATTAGTATTAGTTTTATTTATACTATGAGAGTGTTATTTTCATTGGCTGTTACGAATTTACGAATTATTATTATTTTCTGGTACCTATGTTGTGGCTCACCAGCTGTGCAAACTTTTTATAAAAATGCTCTTATTTCACACTCGGATCAATCTATATATTATCACTCTTGACTCTCAAGTCTTAGCTAATGTAGAGTAGGTTAAAGACACACACTTAAACATAGAAATTAAACGATATCAAATAGACAAACCGTTTGCTGAAAATATATATATCTCTGTCGCATTACTAAGGAATCTTTCTGTTATTCCCAACCACTCCCTTGATGTCTATTCTTCATCTTCATAATGTTCGAGAAGCTGCATAGAGAAAATCTTATATAAGTTTTTTTACCTCATAACCTTAATTAAGTTATTTGTCTATATAAGTTTTGGAGAAGCTTACCTCAGGATAGACAATGAGCGTAAACAACGATGGTTCTCCTTTCTCGCGGCTGACCTGTCGGATCACCTTGCCAAAGCCACCATTTCCCCAGCTAGTTCCGGCAGAATTCTGGACTTCCCAATAGTGTACTCCATTGACTGTTCCGTAGCCGTAACATAAAACCATATGCTTCGCCACCTTTTTGTTACTCTTTTTAGGACCTTTATAAATTCCATCCTATATACCATAAACAAATAAAATGATATTAGGATTAAAACATTTATATTATCAGGTTCACTAAAAAGTATATATGTTTCAAATTAAGGATACTAACCCCTTCAAAGTTTTCAAACTCTTCGTATAAGTCTAAACTGACCGCCACAGGATCTTCGTTGACCAAAGATATGAGTTGGTTTTCATCGACTTTTTCCAAGATGATTAAATCTTTCACTTTATATGTGCGTTTAGGCTACAAAACATGAAGAAATGTTTAATGGAGAGATCAAAAAAGTATTTGTTAATTAGAGAATCAGGCTTAATTAATTATGTGATTCATTTACCTTTCTTTTTTCGGTACACAGTGTGGGCATCTTGGGTTTAGCTTTGCCTTTCATAGATCCAAACAATGGTTGAGTACAGTTGCACTTTTCCTCTTTGATGGCGCCATATTCCTTCAAGAACTTCTGCAAATGACGAAAATCGACAAGTGCACCACTGGAATCTACTCTGTCAGTGAGAGCCACTAAGAGGTGGAGAGCTGATATTGGCGCCTCAATTTTCTTAAGGATACGAAGACGAGCAGATAAGCATTCGCTTGAAGATATCGTCCAACAGATGTCTTAAAATTTCGAAAAGATAATATTATTACGTAAGATGATGATGTTGTCTTAGAACCCAAAAATAATGTTAAAGATGTTAGCCGTTTTTATTCCACATATATTTAACAGATGTTTTTATGTGTGAACTAGAAGTCTAGAACTATATGAATACATGATAGTTAACAAAAAAAAAAAAAAAAAAAAAAAAAGAGAGAGAGACGGCACGTGATGAATATAAAAATAAATACTCATGAAAAATTAAGCTCATGTAGTCATGTTCAACCATAAACTTGTGTATTAATTTTTGTGATTTATTTGGTGGTTTAGCGTAATTTAGACTACGCTAATAAGATATAGGGAGTAGTATTAAACACCTATTTAGCAAAAGAGAATCCCATGTAGTGTCCATTCTGATTTACCCATTTCGAAACCGAATAGAATACCAGTTGTACATTACTATAAATATCCAACCCAAAACCAATACTTCTGCGTATATTTACTCGAAAGAGATATGGGACTGAATAATAATTGAAATACGTATATAAATAGTATTTTACATTTTTAATCTATGAATCTAGTTCTTATATGATCATATCGTAAGATGTTTTACTTACCCCGATTTCCCTGATTAATAACCTCCCTAAGCACAGCAAGCCAGGATTTTCTATAGATTTTAGTTCCACTTGGGCTATCCTATAAAAACCAATAATATATATTAAAATTAGGGGAAACCTTAAGAAGGGGAATTTAATGCAAACCCATAAAAACAGAATTATATGAATTGGATCGCTTACCTTAGGAAACTCTTCGTCCAACTTCGTCAACTGGAGTAGTAATACCAATCAGATTAACAGATACTAGAAGTTATTAGTACACTTTTTTGCTAATTTTTATTTTTAAATGATATCTTTCTTACAAATAATTAATCTTAGTTTATTTTTTCTTCTAGTTAATTGTTTAATTGTTATATTTTAAAATTACCACACTGTCTTTTGCTGTCCCAACATTCGAGTTTGGTTTGGGGCCTTTTGGTTTCTTGCCACCAGCACCATAAGACTTCAGATTTTCCATCCTGGTTAATTGAATAAAATTAGAAATATATACGAATACACATACGAGTTAGTTGTTAAAAACATTATATATGATAATTATGATAATTTATATTTACTGTCATAACTAAAAGGGCTACTCAATTCCAACATATAATAACTAGTTTAGTCGGAGATCGTCTTGAAAACAATACATACAAAAAAAATTGACATACATTTTGAACGAACTTTTTTTCTTGAAATTTCATCAGGAAAAAGATAGCCAAGTCAGTTTAATAAAACCAACTAAATCATGGAACAACCGAAAAATCATTACGAAAAATATTATATTTAAAAAGACGAGGCTTTGTTTATAAGAATGAAGAAATTAGGGTTTCTTCTAAGATAAAAACGACTTTCATAGAATGAAGAAATGAGTACGTGTAAAACTTTGGAAATGCACGACATTCCCTCTAAAACTTAGGAATTTATACGTTCTTGACATATATATCAACTCGATTCAGCATAAACACTCCATGGTTACCTCGAGTTCTTTTTATCACAAATCAGTGGATGTCAATGGGAGAAGAGGTCTATTAAACCAAAGAAAGAATCTTAGGAGAAAAAAGAAAAACAAATGAGAGAATTTCTAACAAGAAAAAATAACTTTTTTCTGTATGAAGAAGATGCATGTGAGAGAGATGAAATGAGGAAGAAAGGCTTTCCTATATATCCGTTTGAGGTTTATGTCGTGGACCCATGGTGATACCTACCCACTTTATGATATTGCTTAATAAGCTATACTCACTTTGTTTAACTATTATTTTATTTTATTTAAAACTATTTAAATGATCGATTAAACTTGAGTTAGAAAAAATGATCGATTAAACTGTTATTCTATTTACTTATAGAAAAAGCTTATTCACTTTCTTGTGGAAAAAGTGTAGACAGTGTAGTATATATTTTTCTCTGCGAATGAGCCTTTTATTTTTCTAAGAAATAATTTGTTTTTTGTTATAAAGCTTATTTGTTTTGGCTTTGAACAAAGTCAAGCTTATTTGTTGGGAGGCCAATACGAGGTTTCTTGTGGAAGAAAAGAGGACGTCCAAAAAGAGAGATTCGGATTCCTCCGCGAAGAATAATGTCACTATCACACTCACAAATTAGTACACAGTCACATGCAAGTTGACGAGAAATATTTAATGCTTTTTTATTCACCTTGATTGCTCTATTATTATTGCCTTATGCTTATTTAGATAAATTTTGAATGTTAGTTTCAAAGAATTTTATTTATTTTCTTTTGATACAGGGTTTAGTTTCAATGTATTTTAGCTATTTTAGAGTTCAATACTATTATTTTGTTAACTCATATGTTATGTATTTAAATTACAAATTTGACAAAAAAACATGAGCTACAGTATATTGACTGTTTCTTTTGTTTTTCACGTATCGATTTTTTTTTTAATCGTATTTTCACTTTGAAAAAAAAGTACCAACAAAAATATATTTTGTAGACAGAAACATTTAAAAACAGGAAAATAAATATTCTAGAATTCGATCTATAATCAATGCATGAGCAAGATCTTAATCACAGGATACAGTTATAATTTAACAATTTTGATGTTATATATACAATTTTTTACAAAATTTTTTAAGTTATTTAATTTCTTTACACTATATATATATATATATATACCATTTATATACCTAGAACTAATCATAACAAAACAATTCAATAGTACATGGTTGATGGTTCTAATACTTGCAGTAAAATATATGGTGAGAAAAGTTGTATTGACATATAGGATATAAGAAAAATGTCATGTTGATAAAGAAAAAAACATTAATAGCAAAACAATAAAGAAAAAAACTATATAAATGGGGTAAATGGAAAGACTTCAGAGAGCGAATAAACAAACACGGATATGCGCGTGAGATTATGACCCACATAGAAGCTAAAATTGTCCATTTTTAATGAACATTTATTTTGTCAAACGGTTTTTAACACCTAATTATCTTGATTAAGGAAAGACGTGTTGATATAAGATTTCCTCAATACATAATTCAATATTTTGCCTTGTAAAGATGTGGCGATTTTCATCTATCAAGTTACTTTTAAAAAGTTGAGGTTCATAAGAAACCTCGACGAAGCTCGCTCGTTTCTATTTCCCGATGGAATCTCAATCTATGTTTCTCACGTACTAATCATTCTAAAGTTATCCATCCAGTTTGACAAAAGCCTATGTCATATAACTCCCACATATTATACGTGTGTTTAAAATAAAATATCAGTTTTTTTTTTAATCATAGATGAATCAGTATACGTGGAATACACATCTAAATCTGTAAGAATGATAACAAAAATTACGTAATTAGATATACATATTAATTAGTTTTGAGAATATGTAAGCTAGAATGTAGTAGTTATTTGTATGGAATAAATTATTCCTTTACTGTGGTTTTATAGTTAGTACTTAGTAGTTTTAACAAGGGATTGATATGCTTAAATCATTGGTAACCAATGAATTAAGAGATTAAGGAGTTTAATGCTACTTCTATTAATATTGTTTAAAGCTTTTAATCAGTTTGCAGGATCCTTATAAAGCATAAACCAGATCCACTTTTATCACCAAAGAAAATGAGATCTAAGTTTTGGATTTGGGTATTTTAAAGAAATGTGTAATTACTTTTTTTTGGTAAATTATGTGTAATTACTACTTGGACGGTTGTATCATGATTCTGCCAGATTTCCAAGGAAATTGAGAGTTTTCAGTTGGGGTATATGGTACAAAGTTTGTAAATGATCAACCTTATATAATTTATTTGAAAAAACATCTTCATATATTCCGTAAGCTAAATATAAGCCCGTTTAATTTTTTTTTTTGTCGACAGCATAAGTTCCTAAAGCGGCACAGGAAGTGTGACCGGTGGAACTGTGTTTACATAATACACGTCATAAGGCTGATCTCGAGCACTCCGTGCTAGCTTGTCCGCCTTCGTGTTCTTCGTCCTTGGGATATGAGTTAGAGAGAACGCCTGGAAGCTCCTTTTGCACTTCTCCACCTCTTCAAGCAAAATCGCAAAAGCCGGCCAGTCCTGAGGTTTTGACACCATGGTTACCAACTCTGAACAATCTGTTTGAAAATTCATTTTCCTTTTGTTGTGGGTTAGCATACTTTGCATAGCCCAAACCAATGCCAAACCAATGCTTCCAATTCTGTCTGCAGAGGTGATAAACCTCGCCGTAAATTACAAGAGCCCACCAAGATTGAACCTGACGCGGGATCAAAGTTATACCAACCAAGACCCGCTCAACACTCTGTGTCCTTCCATGCTCCATCTATTTGGCACCATTCACCCTCGATCTCAGTCCGTGGATATGAGACCCTAGCCATTGGTCCAATTATTTCTCCCGTTTGTGCAGTAGCCCATGCACGTGCTTCTGTTATCGCTGATTCCAGAACATCCCGCGGATCATGGTCATCATTTGAAAAGACTTTATAATTACGTGCTTTCCAAATGAACCATAGTAACCAAGGAAATATGAGCATATCATCATCCTTTGGAAGACCCCAAAAGAGGTGTGCCATATTAGAGAAAAGTGCATCCGTAGGAAAGGACTGTAGTGGCGTTGGGATAGGGGATAGAGCCCAGGCCTGGCGGGCTGGTGGGCATTCAAACAACATATGATTAATTGTTTCATCTCCCATACCACATCGCACACATAGGATCCACACGCATCCCCCTACTGCATAACCGTGCACCAACCGATAAACATCCCGAGATAATCTGCCAAATGAAATGTTGGAATTTTGTAGTGGTTTTTACTTTCCATGACTGGCATGTAGTCGACGGGTATCTGAATTGAATATTTCAAATTAAATATAAGCTCGTTTAATTTTGTAAGAATTGAATATTTCAAATTATTATGAGAAAAAAAAGATCAGATTAATCGGACAGCTGTAGCGTTTAGTGAAGCAACAACAAGATCTTTGCATCATCCGTTTTTTTCTTACCGTTCAGATATTTTTTCTGACACATTTACCCTCGATCGGAAATTGCAGTATCTCGCGACGTCGTCTTTAAGTCGACCTAGTATTACAGTTCCTTGGGACCTAAGGAAGCTTCCTTTTTATAATCCTTTCTCCGAATCTCTGCCTGAACCTGAGATTACAACATCGAGTATAAATGACCATTAAAAATACTTTCAAGGAAAAAAGGAAAGTGCATATATGTATATAATCTTTGGTAACATCATCCACACACAATATCAATTCTCACATCTTCACAACAATCTCTCTCTCTCTCACTCTTTTTCTCTTACGGTTCATCTGATTTTGTTTGAATTTTCTCTTCTTCAAAGGAAAGTGAACATGGCTCCACGACTGAAGTTCTTGGCTGATGATAATCTGAAGAGTAAAAAGTCTGTTTCAAACAGAGATTCCCCGGTTTCAAGAAGAAAGCGACAGAGCTTTCTGTTCTCTGCGGAAACTCCGCGGGATTCATCTGTTATGGTCCCGACGACAAGGATCTCCATGTCTGGCCTGAGAACCCAAAATCCATGCAACAGATCGTCTCAAAATTCAATGCGCAGAGCCATCTAAAGAGGAAGAAAAACGGATGCGATCTCAAGCCCAAGATTGGTGAGAGTCGAAATCACGGTTTCAGAGACTTGATAGCAAAGGCACGTGAGAAAGTAGAAGAAAAGAGACAGATCGATCACAGACAGATCTAATTGCTTCACAAAAGCAAGCTGTTTATTTTTCATTTTTGCTCAAACTGTCTCATTTAAATATCGTGTCAAAACAAATTATTGTGTAGTTTCAGAAGTAGCAACAAGATCTTTAGCTGGAATCATCTCTCTTGCATAGTTGCATCGATTGGAATCAAGCAGGAAAAAGTGCTAATTGTTATCGAGAGGATCAAGGGTTCTTCGGATCATAAGGATCACAACGTATATCCGTGTCAGGAGAAGATCGTTCTAGGGTTTCAGTCTCAGATAAAGATACCGATCAGAAATCCAACCCTAATTTGGGGTCGAAAGACAAACTTCTTAAAGTTTCAGATCAGAATACGAAATTAGGGTTTGGTGGTGTGTTTGACGAACTAGGTTACGTGGCCAGTGGTGACACTTTGGGGGTTTCAAGCAATGATCGTGTTATGGGTATGGAAGTAGGAGGCGATGAACATTATCCAATTCCGGTCACTAGCAATGATGGCGTTTGGGATTTTGATTATTCCTCACCACTTGCTACATATTCTCACGATTATTACAGATTATTGGGGCAATATTCAAGGTTTTCAATGTGTGTTTTTTCATTTTTCAATTTGTAGATGATTCCTTTTTTTCCTCTGATTAAATTTAGACTACAATATGTTACCTGAAGCTTTCTTTAATAAAAGACAAAAACTTTCAGGTTTTTCAAAACCAGTTGTTTACTTTGACAAATTCATGTGAAACACTTAAATATAAATCCATCAATAGGATTAATTGGTACAAAAAGAAAAGCGAATTAAGTTTTTTTTAAGCGAAAAACATATGACTTCAAATCTACAAAACATAAAAAAAATTAACACCAAAAAACAATTAATGCCCAAATATAGTATGCACTAGACAGTATTTATGGGCCAAACGTAAGCCTGATTAGTAACGAGCAAAACTATAGAGCTCACTTACTTGATGCCAAAGACTTCTCAAAGAAGAGTAAAATAATCTTGGAAAGTTAGATAATAATTACAATAATTTTGTATTTTTCAGAATCCAAAAAAGGGGTAAAAAGACATGTAAAATATTGTAGAAGCCTTTTATTACAAAATGCCATTCCATTTCCCAAACAAACACTATTAAACCAAAACCAAAAATTAATTTAAACCAAAAATTAAACTAAACCAAAAGAGAAACCCAAAATTAACCTAATTATAAATTCACTTCTCTCTCTTTTCTCTTTTCGCCGCCGCACACTTTCATTTCGAAAAAGAAAAAAAGCTTTGTTCTCTCTTCTCTCTCGGCGATTTTGAGTGCGGTCAGTTCCAATTAAGGTCGAATCTCGATGATTCGGACCACTTTCAGGTAATAACCCTTATTTCTCACTCCGGTTCTCATAATTCTGCTCCTTGTTCTTATTTTCTTGAATTTTGGTGGTTGTAAACAGAAACTCCGACAGTTCTTCTTCTTCTCCCGTTCGGGCGAGGAGTTTTATTCTTTCCGACCACTTACATGTAAGTAAGCCAATCAAGATTTTTGATAAATGGATTTCCTAAAATTTAGGGAAACTAGTTTTTTTTAAATAACTTCCAATTGGTAAACAAAAACCAAAATCCATAACTTTTGGATTTCTATCGGAAAATATTGTCGACAACATTTTTATATTTAGATTTTCGTTTTTAGTTTTACTCTTATTACCCATTAATATTTTCTTCACAAGATCACAAATCCCTTACTTCTCTCTACACACAGAGACATCTCATAATGTCGTGAGTAACAAATATTTTTTTCTGTAAAATTCAATTAATTAGATATTTATTTAAATAACTTTAAACACATGAAAGTTTAAACAATCATCTGTACGTATTTTTCTTTTAATTTATGAATATAAATTAATGTGCATTTTTATTTTTAGGCTTTGATTGGTAGGGATTTTTAAAATAGTTTTTCTATATTTTGACCATAGTTTTTAAAATAAATTTAGTTGAAATTAGTTTGTTTTAAAATCTAACTATTAATTATGTGCTTTTACTGTATGTGTCTTTCATAGTATAATTCATTATTTTGTAAGGAATAATATTTTATTTTATTGCCCAAATACAGTATACACTAGACAGTATATATGGGCGCAACATAAACCTGATTAATAACGAGCAAGACTATATAGCTGACTTACTTGATGCCAAAGACTTCTCAAAGAAAATAGAGTAAAACAATCTTGGAAAGTTAGATAATAACTACAATAATTTTATATTTTTCAGAATCCAAAAAGGGGTAGAAAGACATGTAAAATTCTGTAGAAACCTTTTATTACAAAATGTCATTCCATTTCCCAAACCAAAACGAAAACCAACACTATTAAACCAAAACCAAAAATTAATTTAAACTAAAAATTAAACTAAACCAAAAGAGAAACCCAACATTAACCTAATTTATAAATTCACTTCTCTCTCTTTTCTCTTTTCGCCGCCGCACACTTTCATTTCGAAAAAGAAAAAAAGCTTTGTTCTCTCTTCTCTCTCGGCGATTTTGAGTGCGGTCAGTTCCAATTAAGGTCGAATCTCGATAACTCGGACCACTTTCAGGTAATAACCCTTATTTCTCATTCCGGTTCTCATAATTCTGCTCATTGTTCTTATTTTCTTGAATTTGGTGGTTGTAAACAGAAACTCCGACAGTTCTTCTTCTTCTCCCATGCGGGCAAGGAGTTTTATTCTTTCCGACCACTTACATGTAAGTAAGCCAATCAAGATTTTTGATAAATGGATTTCCTAAAATTTAGGGAAACTAGTTTTTCCAAATAACTTCCAATTGGTAAACAAAAACCAAAATCCATAACTTTTGGATTTCTATCGGAAAATATTGTAAACAACATTTTTATATATAGATTTTCTTTTTTAATTTTACTCTTATTACCCATTAATATTTTCTTCACAAGATCACAAATCCCTTACTTCTCTCTACACACACAAACATCTCATAATGTCGTGAGTAACAACTATTGTTCTGTAAAATTCTATTAATTAGATATTTATTTAAATAACTTTAAACACATGAAATTTTAAACAATCATCTCTACATATTTTTCTTTTAATTTATGAATATAAATTAATGTGCATTTTTATTTTTAGGCTTTGATTGGTAGGGGTTTTTAAAATAGTTTTTCTGGACATGGCAAATTACACAAATCTTTGATTGCATTTCAAATTGTAACTACCATAGTTTTTAAATAAATTTAGTTGAAATTAGTTTGTTTTAAAAATCTAACTATTAATTATGTGCTTTACTATACGTGTCTTTCATAGTATAATTCATTATTTTGTAAGGAATAATATTTTTAGATTTATGAAAAAACAAAAATTTAGAAAAAAAACCCAAAAACTAAATAACTCACAATTCAAGTTTCTTTAAAACTAAATCTACAGAAAACCCAATATCCAAAACCAAAATCGAAAATTAAAACTAAAATCTGAAAACAAAAATCTAAAATCTAGACACCAGCCAAACATTCATGACCATAGTCATAAAGTTTGAAAGTTTTGTTCCATGAGTTAATTTGTTTAAAATTCATCTCCAAAAACAAAGATTTATTTCATGGCATGTCTACAGTAAAATGTTTGTTATGGAATATGGCAAATTTTAACTACTATAAAATTAATTGTTAATTTTTTTTTTGAGTTTTTTTATTTTATTTTGGTTAGTCAGAAACTGGGAAATTATTATATAGATATAACAGAAATACATTTTAAAACTGGGAATATTAATTGAAAACGGCAAATCCAAAGAAACAAACGAAAAAAACAAATTGGCGGTTCAATCCCAACGCTTTGTCATTTTTCATTTTTTTTTGTTGCTTTGGATTTGCTGTTTTCAATTAATATACTCAGTTTTAAAATGTATTTCAGTTATATCTATATAATAATTTACTAGTTTCTGATTAAACAAAATAAGAAAACTCAAAAGATAAATAAATTTAATAATGAATTTTATAGTAGTTACAATTAGCCATAGTCAGAAAGTTCAAAAGTTTTGTTTAATGAATTAATTTGTTTAAAATTCATCTCCAAAAACAAATATTTATTTCATGGGATGTCTACAGTAAAATGTTTGCTATGGATATGGCTAATCGTAACTACTTAAAATTAATTGTTAATTTTTTTTTGAGTTTTTTTATTTTGTTTAATGAACTAAAACCATTAACTATAAGAAACCTATTATGCATTCTTTAATTATGACGATCATTGATTCAACCTTGTATAAAACAGATATATCATGTCAGCTAATTAACATAATGTCATTAAAATTCGGGCGACAATTAAGACATATATTTATTTTGCCACTGTTTACTTTTAATTTGATCTTCTTTTGCAGCTCGTAATGCAGGACAAAGCACGCTGCAAGATGATAACAAACGATTTTCTTGGCAATATAAAGATAGAATACGCGTATGAGACAGTTCAAGTTGATGAAATCCTCTTTGGTAATAAATGGTTTTCGCTATAAAGGTTCTGCAAGTAAGAGTAAGAAAGAAGCTGAGCAACAAGATGCACGTGTAGCTATCCTCTCCTACTTAGGTAAGCACTTACATATATTCTGAAACAAATAAACAAGAAAAAATGATGTATGTCTCATGGGGACATAGATCATGTTTCTTTGCATCGTTCACTTTTATTTGACCAATTAATATCTTTTTTTTTTGTTATAGATGAATTTACACATAGTGCACTTCTTTCTAAAGTGTTCAAGTCCAAATGTAATGAGAACCATGGTAGTCATGGAGTCTGACTCTGTGCATAACCAGGTTCAACTCCTTTCTAGTTCTGCTGCTTCTCGCAAGTTGATCTATGTGCTGGTTATGCATAGACCATGTCAAACTCCATGACCACTATGATTCTCATTACATTTGGACTTGATCACTTTAGAAAGGAGTGCACTATGTGTAGGATCATCTATAACAAAAAAAAGAAAGATATTCATTGGTCAAATAAAAGTGAACGATACAAAGAGAAATGATCTATGTCCCATGAGACATACGTAATTTTTTCTTGTTTATTTGTTTCAGGATATATGTATGTGCTTACCTAAGTAGGAGAGGATAGCTACACGTGCAGCTTGTTGCTCAGCTTCTTTCTTACTCTTACTTGCAGAACCTTTATAGCAAAAACCATTTATTACCAAAGAGGAAGCAAATAGAGGACGCATTCCATCAACTTGAACTGTCTCATACGCGTATTCTATCTTTATCTTGCCAAGAAAATCGTTTATTATCATCTTGCAGCGTGCTTTGTCATGCATTACGAACTGCAAAATAATATCAAATTAAAAATCAATAGTGACAGAATAAATATATGTCTTAATTATCTCCTGAATTTTAATGACCTTATGTTAATTAGCTGGCATGATATATTTGTTTTATACAGGGTTGAATCTATGATCGTCATAACTAAAGAATGCATAATAGGTTTCTTATAGTTGATGGTTTTAGTTCATTAAATAAAATGGAAAACGTAAAGCAAAAAAGCAGGTTTCAATAGTTAGTTTGTAGGAAACCAAAATCTTGAATAGATGCTAAAATCTAAACTAAAAATCCAATCACAGAAAAGGAAGATCGTGTACGTCCTAGATTATATCTTGTTCATATATCATTCTAGAAGTAGTTTAAAGTTTCTCAACGTTAACCAAATAGATCTTCTAACAAAAACCTCAAGATCTTGTGGTTACGGTTGTTGTCGTACCAGAGAGCCTACATGTCTGATGAATGGAATTTGTTAATGGGTCGGAAGTTGGAACCACCTGATTTGTCTTCTCCCAGTTAAAGACTTCGCATTTTTAAGTAGACTTGCTTGCTTTTAAGATGGCTCAAACAAGTCGACGTTCCAGTGACCGTCCCAATCCCACTTAAGGACTTTCAAATCATTCTTGGCTTGGTTAAATATGCTTACTTGTTTTACAGGAAGCTGTCGTTTTGGAGTCCTTCGAAATGAGGTTCAGTATTTCTTTTCTTTCCTGAGTTTCTATATTTCTGTTTTCATAACGAGGCTGGAAATTAATTTTGATAAACGCAATTAATGATGCAACGACAAAATCGTTATGGTCTAAAGTCTAAACATCACCTTGATTTTGTTAAACGTTGAGATATTTGTTCTGACACATTTACCCTCGGGAGTGAAAGAAAAAAGGAAATAGCAGAATCTCGCGACGTCGTTTTCAAGTCGACCTATGATCTTGGGACCTAGGGAAACTTCTTTTTTTATATCCTTTCTCCGATTCTCTACGCTCTATATAACAATCGGGTCCAGTTTCTGTGCCTCTCTGACTTTAACTATCTCTTTTCCATACTCTGATTGAAACCCTATTTTCTCTGCTTTCCTCTTTCCAAGTTCCACAACCCATTCGAAAACTAAAATCAACACCTGACAAAGAAGATGACGGAGGAGAGATCTGATCTTCACTGTTTGGTTTCTATTGCAGTCAGAGACGCTAATTCAGACAGCGTAGAGGGCGTCGAGAGATGTTTAGATATCCTTCGATTCTTGAAGAGCCTGAATCTCTCAGACAAGGATATTAGTCGCGTGTCTAGAGAAGAGATACTTCCTTTGGAGAGTTTGAGACATCACAGTAACCCGAAGATTCGGACGGGAGCTAAAGTCTTGTTAAGTTCCTGGATGAAGACTGTTTCTTCCACCGACGAAGGAAGAAGAAGAAGAAACCCTTCTTCTACTTGCAACAACAAAGCTCGTGTTGTGAAAGTACCTTCCGTGCTGAAGAAGAAAAAAGTTGAGAGATCTAGGGCTCATGATCAAGTGTGCGAGACTAAACAAAACCTAAAGAAGACTGATGATCGCAAGCCTTTCGCTGCAGCGAAGAAGCAATCCGCTCTTTCTACAAACCCTAGATCTCTGGCTCATGAAGCGAGACAGAGTAAGCAAAATCTGAACAAGCCTGACGTTCGCTGCAAGTCTGTTCCAGAAACATCAAGGCCTCTCCAGATGAAGAAGAAAGTATCTGAAAAGAATGCAACAGAGATGTTGGAGCTCTTCGAGATAGCCAAGAAATCTGCAGATGTGGCTAACGCAAAGGGACTTCTCTTGGCTACAAAGGAGACGTCGATATGTGTGGACACTCTCTCTTTACTCATCGAGTTCCCAATCAGCTCAGCAGCTCCTGAAACAAGTCGGATCATGGACAAGCTTGCTTATCTAACGAGGCACAAAGACAGGAAAATATGCAATTCTGCATCAGCACTTCTTGACCATTGGAGCCAGAGCATCAGAGATCAGCAAACACAAAGTTGCTAGTAATGTCACCAGAGAATCTGTAAAAAATAAAAAAAACAAGGGAAGCAAATTTCTAGGCTTGTGACTTGATAGTGGTGGATAACAATTCTTTCGGTAATGTTTTCACAATCTCTATTTGTGATGTTTATTCTTCTGTTTATGGGTATCAATGATATTGGAGTTTGGTCTTTACATTTGTTTGTAAGTTGTAATTGAAAGACAATAAGTCAAATAGTTTAGAAAGTTTTAGCGAGACAAGAACTGGTTACTATCGCTTTCTTATTGAACCTCAAGAAAGCACCTGATAAAGCAGAATTTTACTTGTAAACAAAGTAGAAAACCTAAACAAGAACTAGCTCAGGTGAGTTGTTGAAATAAAGAAGACATACCAAGACCACCAGAAGTATAGGAAAAGATAATGCTTAGCTCTTGCAATAACATCTTCTGGGAATAACACGCCAACATTTAGGTGATCTCAGAGAAGCCAAATACACAATCTCATAAACAATCTAATCTCAGAGAAGCCAAATGCACAATACCATATGTATTCTAATCTCTCAGACACCAATCACACAAGCTCATACGAATTTCAGAAACTTGGCTACCAAATCTCACAAATAATCTTAGTCTCAAACCAGAACAAACATAACCGCAATGAGCACAACTAAGAGCATAGAAGATCAAGATCAATCCTTTTCTCAAAAGTCTGATCAAAACCAAGAGCACACATATATATATTCCATCAAATAAGATCAAGAGACTTACCTTGACAAAATCTCAAAGAAGTTTATGTAGTGGGTTTGATTGTTATCAGCAAAACCGTTCTAGAGGAGCTGGTTTGATTTGGTATTCATACATTTCAAAGCATACAAAAACTTCATATTCATACATTTCAAAGCATACAAAAACTTCATAAACATCTGATTTAGTCTTCTCTAAGAGTAAAATTTGACTGATACAGAGCATCACATGTACTCAGAGGCATTTCAACAAACATCTGGTGTACAAGATAATCTACTGACCTGATAAAATCTCAACGGAAACCCCAAATTAAGTATGAACATGTATAGAAACTCTCACCTGAGACTAATTAACAAAGTTGTTGAATCGGAGACGTGACGGAGATGACATTTACGAATCGGAGGAAGACACAGCAATTCCGCCGGAGATGAGATTTGATCGGAACGGAGACGGAGACGGAGAAAAGGATCAAGCTATGTTGTTCCCGAAACAACATTCAGCAAACGAATTTGAGATGGACGAGCTCGATTAAGCAGAAAATGAATCAGCCAATATTCCAGCTCTATTGTTTTGATTTCACTCATGAATGAAATTTGAAAAGAAATTATGTGGGCGATAATCAAAGGCCTATAGAATTACTATAAAATTATAATTAGACCATCTCCAACCCCTCATGCCATATGTTATTGCAAATGGCAAAAATATAGCAATAGCATTGGTTTCTCTCCAACCCCTCATGCCATATATCATGCTATAATTTTTTTCCAACTTATTATTAATTGTTAAAACTACTTGATTTCTTCAAATTTTACAAAGTGAATCATTTTTTTTTTTTTTGCAAAAACAACCAGAATTATATTTTTTTTTATTATAATATTAAAACAAAATACATCATATTACATAAAAATTATAGAAAACAAAGATTTTAACCTATTGTTTTATGTTTTTTGAATTTCAGTATTTTTAAAAATAAAATTTAAGTTTATTATGGTTATGTTTTTATATTTCTATGAAATAAATATTATTTATATTTTGAAAAAGTTATGAGTATTGTTTATTTATTTAAATAAATCATAATCAATATAATTAAACTGTTAAATTAAAAGTAATTACAAATTGAAGGACTATTTTATAAATAAAAAAGTTCAATGGCAAAATAGCATATTGCATAATCTCATGCCAAATATAGAAGCAAAAATAGCATGATGCTATTTTGCAATAGCATATGCAATTGGGTTGGAGCAAAAATTATGGCAAAATAGCATATATGTCATATTTAGCATGGGGTTGGAGATGCTCTTAGAATCACCTATCCAAGTAAGTGATGCTAAATATTCAATACCAAACGTCATTTATATTTTAATGACATGAGTCAAAATATATTAGCATCAATATTGTTAAGTGATTCGAGAAATGCCGTCTTTTTAATTTTTAGAGTCGATTTTGTAAATAATGCTAAAGAACCGATGCCAATTATACGTTTTCTAGTAGGTGTGTGTTTTTAATTTTTCAATTTGCGGATGATTAATTCCTTTTTTCTGCTTGATTAAATTAAATAAAAAGACAAATTTTCAGATTTTCAAAACCACATTCATGTGAAACACATAAATATAAAATCATCAAAATATTATAAGTTGCTACAAAAAGAAAGAGAACGAAACTTTTTCTTTCTAAAGCAAAAGAAAAACATATGACTACAAAAATCCACAAAACACATTTATGAACACAAAAAAAAACAATTAATAAACAGAAAACATGCCCAAAGATAGCAGCTATACACTAGACGGTATGGGCCCAACGTAGGCCTGATTAGCAGGGAAGGGAGTGACACTGTATAACTGATTTACTTGATCGGTTGATCCCAACGACTCATCAAATCCCAAGTTTGCTTCTCTACTCTCTTAATTAGGGTTTCGTCAGAGGAATTACATCTTCTTCTTAATCTGTGTGGGTGCTTGAATATTAGCATAGAGGGGTGATGGAGATTGCTTGCGCTTTGCCTTCGCACTTGTTTCCGACTAAAGGCGTTGGTTGCAGATCAACCAATTTCTCAGATTTCTCCTTGCTACCACAAAGTTTGAGTCGAACCGGAAGATATCACAAGGAAAGGCGCGAGGTTACGGCGGCTCCGAAGAAACGCAAACATTCCGGTGAAGAGAATCCACCGGAGAAGAAACAAAAGAAAACCACCGAAGCTTCGAAGCCTAAGCCCAAGATTGATGAGAGTCGAAATCAGGGTTTCAGAGATTTGATAGCAAAGGCACGAGAGAAAGTAGAAGAAAAGAGACAGATCGATCATAGGAACACGGAGATCGCAAGACAGAGGTTAGCTTCTCGGTTAGCACTAAACCAGGTGGTAGCAACCGTTGCTTTCGACGATCATCTTAAATACCACACGGAGTTACAAGAGCTTGGCTGCGATTTCATTCGAGATCGAGTCAGTTGCTTGAACATGTTCAGTTTGTTGTCAAGAAGCGATTACTCTGTCTTGGAGAAGAAGTAACTGTCACAATTCTTTCTTCTTTTTTTTTTTTTTATTTTTTTTCAGTTCTGTCTTTGTTTTGTATTCGTATATTATTTGTGGCGTAATAGAGTATGTCTGTGTGTTTTTATTTGTGTGTCTCAGGTTTGTCTTATCAAAGTAAATATAACAAAGTTTTCAGATTTATTCTGTCTATAGTAGTTTGCAAACTGATCAAACTATTTTTTATTTGTAGTCCACTACGGTTCGTTCTCCTGATTAGGAAAGGAAAACTAATTGCTTCACAAAAGCAAGCTGTGTGTTTTTCATTTTAGCTCAAGCTGTCTCATAGACCTAACACATCATTTATATGCCCTTAACCCTTGCAAAGACGTCTGCAAGGATGGAAATGAATACTATCAACCTGAAGACATGACCTCTCATTATGATTCGAAGATGACGAAGATAATGAAGGTGTTTGCGTTTAGCATGTTTTTGCTTTTCAAATTAATAGAATGTCCAGTCGATCAATGCGTCCGTTGTCCAGACACTATGCAATCTCATTCTAATAACCTCACTCCAAATACCAAGACAATAACTTTCTTTTTTTGTCAAATATTTTGATCCACTTCTGAAGGATATTTCTGATAAACCCTAACCTTATTTTCCATTTTTTTTTTTTGCACTTTTGCATGACAGAGTAAAATCTCCAAGAAAATCCAGGTGTTATACAATTACAAGTCCACTGATGTATACGAATTCACCACGAGACATTCTTTGTAAAGCATATTCCAAATCTTAGTGAGACATAACACACACATAATTAATTTAATTAAGCTCGCTCGTAATTTTTTATAAAAAAAAGAAAGAAAATAAAGAAACAGAACTTAAAATTAATAGGACACCTGTATATAGTTTCAGAAGTAGCAACAAGATCTTTAGCTGGAATCATCTCTCTTGCATAGTTGCATCGATTCCCAGTTAGCTGGAATCAACCAGAAGTGCTAATTGTTATCGAGAGGATCAAGGGTTGTTCAGATCATAAGGATCAAAACGTATTCGTGTCAGGAGAAGATCGTTCTAGGGCTTCAGTCTCAGATAACGAGACCGATCAGAAATCCAGTCCTAATTTGGTGTCGAAAGACAAACTTCTTAAAGTTTCATATCAGAATATGAAATTATGGTTTGGTGGTGTGTTTGACGAACTAAGTTACGTGGCCAATGGTGACACTTTGGGGGTTTCAAGCAATGATCGTGTAATGGGTATGGAAGTAGGAGGCGACGAACATTATCCAATTCCGGTCACTAGCAATGATGGCGTTTGGGATTTTGATTATTCCTCACCACTTGCTACATATTCTCACGATTACTACAGATTATTGAGGCCATATTCAAGGTTTTCAATGTATGTTTTTTCATTTTTCAATTTGTAGATGATTTCTTTTTTTTCCTCTCATTAAATTTAGACTTATGTTAACTGAAGCTTTCTTTAATAATAAAAAAAGACAAAAACTTTCAGGTTTTTCAAAACCAGTTATCTTTTTTTTTTTGTCAACAGCCTAAATTCCTATACCGGTCCGGGAAGCGGAATCGGGGGAACTGAGTTTATGTAATACACATCATGGGGCTGAGCTCGAGCACTCCGTGCTAGCTTGTCTGCCCTTGTGTTCTTCGTTCTGGGAATGTATGTGAGGGAGAACGCCTGGAACATCCCTCTACAATGCTCCACTTCTTCAAGCAAGATCGCAAAAGCTGGCCACTCGGCAGGTTTGGACACCATCTTCACCAACTGAGCGCTATCTGTTTGGAAATTCATCCGTCGTTTATTATGGACTAGCATACTTTGCATAGCCCAAACCAATGCCTCCAATTCTGTTTGAAGAGGAGATAAACCCCGCCGTAGGTTGCTAGACCCCATCAGGGAGCCCGAATCCGGGTCAAAATTGTACCATCCAAGTCCAGCCCGACTGTCTGTCACTTTCCATGCTCCATCAATCTGACACCACTCTCCCGGTGGGACGTGGCCGGAGTTGATGGAGATATTATTGGATACTCCGTCTGCTACCGTTTGTGCTGCTACCCATGCCCGGGATTCCGTTATCGCAGATTCCATTACTTCCTGCGGATTTTGATCATCATTTGAGAAAACTTTGTAATTACGAGCTTTCCAAATAAACCAGAGTAACCATGGATACATCAACATGTCATCATTGTCTGGGAGGTTCCAGAATAGATGTGCCATATTTGAAGTACAGTGCTCCCGTAGGAAAAAACTGGGGAGGCGTAGGTATGGGAGAGAGTGCCCAGGCCTGTCGGGCCGGGGGACACTCAAAGAGCATATGATTGATAGTCTCATCTCCCATACCACATCTCACGCACAGTGGGTCCACACGCATTCCCCGACTACATAAACGTGCGCCAACCGATAAACATCCGGTAATAATTTGCCAGAGAAAATGTTGGAGTTTTGTGGTGCATTTAACCTTCCAGGATTGCGCTTGCAATCTCCGAGTGTCCGGTCCAAAGACTGGTAGTGTCCCCTCATCGGAAAGCTCCTGTAGCACAGTATATCCCGATTTAACCGTATACCGACCCGTTGTTGTATAAAACCAGCCCCAGGTATCGGGTTTATATCCAGTAGCCACTGGTATACCCGTAATGCGAGTGATTTCCTCACTCTCAAAAAATTGTTGCAATAGTGGTCGATTCCACGTTGAGGTCTGGGAATTAATTAACTGATTCACCGTGAGGTGTGGGTAGTAATTAATTCCTTTACAGATAGCTGGCCTCGGGCAAGAATCGGAAATCCAGGGGTCATACCATACATAGATAGATGAACCTGAACCAACTCTTTTAATAAGTCCTTTGCATACCAGAGGTCGAGCTGAAACGATACTCTGCCATCCATAAGATGGAGAGTAAGAGCGAATTGGGTCCAAGGGGGTTGAGTTCCGAAAATATCTCCCCTTGAAAACTTTAGCAAACAGGGAATCCGGGTTATCCATTAGGCGCCATAACTGTTTTGCGAGTAGCGCCTGTGTTAAAATCTTCTATTACCCTAAATCCCAGTCCCCCGTCAGTTTTATGTCGACACAGCTTCCGCCACGCGAGCCAATGCATACCCCGTGTTTGGGAATTTGTGCTCCACCAAAAATTTGCTACCGCACTTGTTAGTTTATTTGTTACTCCCTTTGGTAATCTAAAACATGACATGACATGTGTCGGCATCGCCGAAAGTACAGACTTGACCATTACTTCTTTTCCCCCTTTAGATAGAACCTTAGATGTCCAGCCGTTTATCCGCTTCTGCTGTCTATCGATCAAGAAACTAAAAATCTTTGTCTTGACTCCACCCCATGAAAGCTAATCCTTAGGCATAGAACTCTTAAACAAGACTAATCCATTCTCATGACATTAATCACTTTGCTAATTACAAATTCAAGACTAATCATCATTAGTGAAATTCGAATTTAGCAAGCATTATAAACAAGTTCTATCAAGCCAATAAACATCTTAAACAATCATTCTCATGAGTTAAGAATATAAATCTCTTGATTTAGTTGGTTGAGACATTTCATCAAACACCTTGTGGGTGTGAAATGCCCTTTGATCTAAATCACTTTTCTCAAAGCTAATCTAGCATTAGGATCACTAAATCAAGAAAGGATATAAGCAATCTAAGCCTAAGCATCAATATCAATCATTGAATCTCTCTAAATCTTACCCATCCCTAAACCCTAAAAGATCTACTCACTAATCATGCTTAAATCAACAAACCCAAGAAGAGGGAAGTTGATAAACATGATTAGCAAGTTGAGAGAAGAAAGATTAATGAAAGAAATCTCTTAAATTCAATAATCTCTTCAAAAGATCTTGCAAAATGTATTTCAAAAGGTTTTACTCTAAGAACAAGATATTACAAGATAGAACTGCCTAAAAAATTAGGTCTTCATGGTTTATATAGTAAGTGAGAGGAAGGAGTCTTGGTCAACGTTTTTAGCCTTGACTTCGCAGCTGCACGTGTCTTGAGCAAACTCCTCAGTGCACGTGTCTTGAGCAAACTCCTCAAGTGCTCTGTTTTTCGTGCTCAAGACTCTGTTCCGCCAAATTCCTCAAGACGCCTTTGAACTCTGATTAACCTCCGGCTTGTCTCCAGTCATCATCCCCTTATGCTCCCATCAGCTTCTAGCTCCAATCTCCTGATAAATGCACTCTAAATGCAATGGAAAGCAAAGTTATTCTAAAAGCTAAATGTCCCTTAACAAGATGAATCCTACACTAAATGCTATGAAATGGAACTCAAAGATATACAAAGCTATGCAGAATATGATGCTAAATGCATGCAAATATTGAGTACATCAACGAGCCACCTTCAGACCCGTTAGAGATTTAACAGATTCTGCCCGTTTAAGATTTGATATCAAAACTTCTGTACAGAGAATAAAAATGTAGGGAGATAAAGGATCTCCCTGACGTAGCCCCTATTCGGAGTTATTTTTCCCCGTGGTTGCCCGTTGATGAGTACTTTATACACAACCGACTTTATGCATTTCATGATCCACCCGATCCATCGTTCTCCGAATCCCATCTTCCGCATTGTGGCTTCAACAAATTGCCACTCAACTCGATCATACGCTTTGCTCATATCAGTTTTTACCGCCATATACTTTCCCTTACAAGACTTGTTTGTCCTTAGGCCATGAAACATTTCTTGTGCTATCAGAATATTGTCCGAGATCAGTCTCCCTGGGACAAAAGCTGACTGGGTCTCCGAAATTAGCTGGGATAGTACCGTTTTCAACCTCTCACATAATACTTTAGAGATAATTTTATAGCCCACATTACATAGACTAATTGGGCGCAGTTCCGTCATCCGGGTAGGACGCTCTGTCTTTGGGATTAAGCAGATGTTCGTCAAATTTAATCTGTCATCAAAGGCTCCCGTTATCAAGAAATCATTAATAAGCCCCAAAATATCCGTTTTTATTAACGGCCATGATTTTTGAAAAAATAAGGCCGTCATCCCGTCCGGTCCGGGAGCTTTCTCCGGGTTCATCAGAAACAGAGCCGCCCGCACTTCCTCTTCCGACGCTGGGCGCATTAGCAGTGCATTGTCGGTTTCCGTGATCACCGCTGGAATACCTTCAAGTATGTCCGTGAAATCATCTGGGGAAGTAGTCGTAAATAAATCCGAGAAATAATCAACCGCCACCTTTTCCATCTCTTTTTCCCCGGTAACCCAGTTATCCGTCTTATCATGTAAACCGACCATCCTGTTTATCGCTCTTCTCTGTTTCGTGGTTGCATGATAAAATTTTGTATTTAAATCCCCATCCTTAAGCCAGAGATTACGGCTTTTTTGCTTCCAGTATTGTTCCTCATCTCGGTAAGCTTCCTTCAATTTTTGTGTGATTTCATCCAGATCTTCCTGGGTTCGAAGATCATCATTTTGAATTTCTTCAAGAGCTTTCTGTAGTTCCGCTATTTTTTCCTTTCCATATGGTTTATTTTCGTGCCGCCATCGAGAAATTTCATGACGGCATTTACGGATCATATCCACTACATTTGATTCCGCATTTGTTTGATTCTCCAACCAACCTCGTTTAATTGCCTCCGAAAATCCATCTTGTCCAATCCATCGTTTATCAAATCGGAATTGCCGCCGCGCTTTAGGGATCTTATTATCTATGGTTGCCAGGATCGGTCGGTGATCCGATCCTACCATTTTTAGATATTCCACATGTGACTTGGGAAAGAGGTCATGCCAATCCTCTGTGGCCAAAGCCCTATCTAAACGGCACCGTACAATTTTTCCCCATCTCTTTCCCCGCCATGATAATTTGTTGCCATGAGTTGGAAAATCAACTAGACCGCAGTCGTCTATCATCAGATTAAAAGACATAAACGTTGAAGCATATCTGATTGCACCTCCCTGTTTTTCGTGATTTCCCGTAATTTCGTTAAATCACCAATCAAAAACCAAGGATCATCCCGTGAGATACCGATTCTAGTTAACTTTTCCCATAAATAGTCTCTTTGTTTTGGGACTGGATTTCCATAAACAAAAGACATAAACATAGTTTTTCCTTCAATAGTGACTTGTGTATCAATTAAATTCTTGGAAGAAGTAATAATTGAAACATTAAAATTATTATTATAAAATAAGGCTAGACCGCCACTAGTGCCACATGGGTCAACCGTATACAAATGATCAAAACCAAAGTGAAATTGAAATTGTTGCAGAAAATTAAAATCTTGCTTAGTTTCAGAAAGAAATAAAAATTCCGGACGGAACTTCCACCAGACTTCCCGAAGATAGCTTATTGTAAACGATTGCCAAACCTTGGCAATTCCAACTCAACACATGCATCAAACAGGGTTTTTGACATTCTCGGACCCCTCCAAAACCAGTTATCTACTTTGACACATTCATGTGAAACACTTAAATATAAATCCATCAACATAGGATAAATTGGTACAAAAAGAAAAGCGAAATAAGCTTTTTTTTAAGCGAAAAACATATGACTTCAAATATACAAAACATAAATAAATGAACACCAAAAAACATTTAATGCCCAAATATAGTATGCACTAGACAGTATAAATGGGCCCAACATAAGCTTGATTAGTAACGAGCGAAACTATATAGCTGACTTACTTGATGCCAAAGACTTCTCAAAAGAAAATAGAGTAAAATAATCTTGGAAAGTTAGATAATAACTACAATAATTTTGTATTTCAAAAAAGGGGTAGAAAGTCATGTAAAATATTGCAGAAACCTTTTATTACAAAATGCCATTTAATTTCCCAAACCAAAACAAAAACCAACACTATTAAACCAAAACCAAAAATTAATTTAAACCAAAAATTAAACTAAACCAAAAGAGAAAACCAAAATTAACCTAATTATAAATTCACTTCTCTCTCTTTTCGCCGCCGCACACTTTCATTTCGAAAAAGAAAAAAAGCTTTGTTCTCTCTTCTCTCTCGGCGATTTTGAGTGCGATCAGTTCCAATTAAGGTCGAATCTCGACGATTCGGACCACTTTCAGGTAATAACCCCTATTTCTCACTCCGGTTCTCATAATTCTGCTCCTTGTTCTTATTTTCTCGAATTTTGGTGGTTGTAAACAGAAACTCCGACAGTTCTTCTTCTTCTCCCGTGCGTGCAAGGAGTTTTATTCTTTCCAACCACTAACATGTAAGTAAGCCAATCAAGATTTTTGATAAATGGATTTCTTAAAATTTTAGGGAAACTAGTTTTTCCAAATAACTTCCAATTGGTAAACAAAAAACCAAATCCATAACTTTTGGATTTCTATCTGAAAATATTTTCGACAACATTTTTATAGATAGATTTTCTTTTTAAAATTTTATATTATTACCCATTAATATTATCTTCACAAGATCACAAATCCCTTACTTCTCTACACACACACACAGACATCTCATAATGTCGTGAGTAACAAATATTTTTTCTGTAAAATTCTATTAATTAGATATTTATTTAAATAACTTTAAACACATGAAAGTTTAAACAATCATCTCTACATATTTTTCTTTAATTTATGAATATAAATGAGTGTGATTTTTATTTTTAGGCGTTGATTGGTAGGGATTTTTAAAATAGTTTTTCTATATTTTGACCATAGTTTTTTTAAATAAATTTAGTTGAAATCAGTTTGTTTTAAAAATCTAACTATTAATTATGTGCTTTACTATACATGTCTTTCATAGTATAATTCATTATTTTGTAAGGAATAATATTTTTAGATTTATGAAAAAAACAAAAATTTAGAAAAAAAAAACCAAAAACTAAATAACTCACCATTCAAGTTTCTTTAAAACTAAATCTACAGAAAACCCAAAATCCCAAACCAAAATCCAAAATTAAAAACTAAAATCTAAAAACCAAAATCTAAAATCTAAAAACCAGCCAAACATTCATGACCATAGTCATAAAGTTCGAAAGTTTTGTTCCATGAGTTAATTTGTTTAAAATTCATCTCCAAAATAAAATTTAAGATTTATTTCATGGGATGCCTATAGTAAAATGTTTGTTATGGAATATGGCAAATTTTAACTACTATAAAATTAATTGTTAATTTTTTTTTGAGTTTTTTTTTTATTTTGTTTAGTCAGAAACTGGGAAATTATTATATAGATATAACATAAATACATTTTAAAACTGAGAATATTAATTGAAAACAGAAAATCCAAAGAAAAAAATGAAAAATGACGAATTTGGCCGTTCAATCCCAACGCTTGGAGAAACGTTTCTGAAAATGTCCCAAGATGTAACACAAGAATTATCCTGGAGATAATTTCCTTCACTAAACTCAAAATTTGCAGTAAAAATAGCTTATTTCTCATGTTGCATGTGATACCTGATCTAGGTGCGGATGCACAAGAAGCTCCAAAAATTGCAAACCCCTCATCAATTCTAGTCTTCTCCTCCCAAATCCAACCCTCAACACAGTTTAGCCTAAATACTTTCAGTTTCTCATCCTCACCCAAAGTTTTTATGAAAAACAAATCTCCTTTAATCTCTACAAAGTATTTGCCAAACGACGTAGTTTTTGAAGATGTGAAACTTTTGTCACATTTTAGGTTGTGAACATTCCAAGTTTGTTTGCATGTGTTGAAAACAACTAGCTTGCCACATCTGCCAAGCCAGTAAAAGAGACCTCCCGAGAAGATAATTTTGTTGTGCCAAGAAAAATATGGCTTAAGGCTCTGAACATGAGTAGTCTCCCACTCTGTTCACCGAGTCTAAAAGTGTTGACTGCAACAAGATTTTCATCGATGTTTCCCAAAATGAAAACCTAACAACTATTGGATGTAGGAGCGCAACTAAAAATAACGCAATCATTATCATACTCACAATTAGGAAAATTGATGATCTTACGAGTGAATGCATTGAATAAGAATAAACCAGATGATCTATCTTGGCGCATAAGTAACCAACCATCTTTTGAGTAACATGCACCTTGCCTGTTACTTCTGGAATCTCCATTGTGTGTGTTACATTGTGTGTGTTACATCGTGACAAGGATTATACATTTCACAACTAGTGCTTCTTGAGGAGAATGGATAATACTTCATAAGCAATAGATGTCGATCTTTCATAAGAATAGAGACACTAGATTTATACCACGCCTTGCAGACTGCGAAACCACGAATACAGTCCTTCACTATGAGGAAAGACAACTCTTTTTCCCAAACTATTGATTAGGGTGAAGGAGAAAATGCAAAGAAGAAATGTTATATTGTCTCTCCTCATAGTGAAGGACTGTATATGTGCTTCCATAGTCTACAAATCGTGTATAAATCTAGTGTATCTATTCGTATGAAAGATCGACATCTATTGCTTATGACGTATTTTCCCTTCTCCTCAAGAAGGACTAGGTGTAAAATCTATGATCCTTCTCAGGATGTGACTCACACAATGGAGATTCCCGAAATAACATGCATGGTGAATTGTTACTCCAAGGATGGTTGGTTCCTTATGCGCCTAGATAAAGCATGTGGTTTATTCTTATTTAATCCATTCACTCGTAAGCTCATCAAGTTTCCTAAATGTGAGTATGATAATGACTGTGTTATCTTTACTTGCGCTTCTACATCCAATAGTTGTTTGGTTTTCGGTTCAGGAAACATCGATGAAAATCTTGTTGCAAACAACACTTTTAGACTCGGTGAAACCGAGTGGAAGACTATCCATGTTCAGAGCCCTAAGCCGTATTTTTCTTGGTACAACAAAATTATCTTCTCGGGAGGTCTCTTTTACTGTCTTGGCACATGTGGTCCGCTAGCTGTTTTCAACCCATGCAAACGAACTTGGAACGTTCACAACCTAAAATGTGACAAAAGTTTCACAACTTCAGCAATTACGTCGTCTGGCAAACACTTTTAGAAGATTATAGGAGATTTTTTTTCATAAACACTTTGGGTGAGGATGAGAAGCTGCAAGTATTTATGCTAAACTGTGATGAGGGTTGGATTTCGGAGGAGAAGACTAGAACTGATGAGGGGCTAGAAATTTTTGGAGTTTCTTGTGCATCTGAAGCTAGATCAGGCATCACATGCAACATGAGAAATAAGCTTTTTTAGCCAAGTCTTCGGACTACCGTCATTAGGTAATTCAATTTATGAATTTAATGAAGAAAGTATCTCCATGATAATTCTTGTGTTACATCTTGGGACATTTTCAGTAACGTTTCTCAAAGCGTTTGGATTGAACTGCCAAAACAGCTCTTAGAATTTCTATGAAACAATCATTCAAGAAGATAAGTTTACAAGACTTTTGGCTTTGTCATTTTTTTTTTTTTTGCTTTGGATTTGCTGTTTTCAATTAATATACTCAGTTTTAAAATGTATTTTAGTTATATCTATATAATAATTTCCTAGTTTCTGATAAAAATAAATAAAAAAACTCAAAAGATAAATAAATTTAATAATGAATTTTATAGTAGTTACTATAATTATAACATAATAATTATAACATGATAAAAATTTAGAAATAGAAAATTTGAGATAAAGTGGGGTGCTAATATCCTAATAAATTAAAAAAAAAACTATTCATACTTTTTAGTGTTAGTGGTTGAGTTAACTCAAAACATAACAAAAACAAGAAAGTTAATACAAAACCATCATAATTCAAATTAACGAGTATAAATAAAATTAAACAGAAAAAGTCTCGCAAACAACCCCGCGAGAAATTACTAACCCAACAATATACCAGAGATTTCCCCCTTTTACTAACCCAACAATATAAATTATTCAACTAGTAATTTTATAGTAGTTACTATTATCCATAGTCAGAAAGTTTGAAAGATTTTTTTAATGAATTAATTTGTTTACAATTCATCTCCAAAAACAAATATCTATTTTATGGGATGT